TATCTTATTTTACTTCATCTTACTTGTTCGATAAACTCAGAGATACTGCACTTTCCTTTATCAGTAAAGTAAAGTAATTCAACTTTACTTTACTCGGTAAAGTAAAGCAACTCTACTTTACTTTACTTTATCAAGTAAAGATAAAGTGCCACTCCCAGGCTCTACCTTGATTTCCCCGTCTGACTCACTTTTTCTCCTATACTATAAGAATTGAACACTAGTAAATCAGTGGTTTTTTTTTGTTTGCTTAACACCGACTTTTTACCTAGCATGCATTAGCTTTTACGAAAATCGCATAATTTTTTCAATAGACTTTCAGAAGATATCAAATCGTGAATCTTGATGAAAACTAAAATGTATTTTATGCTTTGTCTACTTCCTAACAATATCAAGTTTGTTTAATATCATTCCGATTTTAAAACACTTTTAGGATTATTAGAGCATAGAAGAAAAAACGTGTTCTTGAGAACTTTAGAACAAAGTTGAACACTATTTTAATCGTCAATTTGGACATTCACATCTTATTCTGTGTAAAACTTCGCATACCTTTTTAAATAAACAACCATTCCGCATCTCAACAAACATGTGGACTGTTGCTTTGTTCCATTCCAACAGAGCAAAAAAGGAGCAAAAAATACTTATGAAAAATTTGAATAGCTTTTTTTTTAATCTTAAAGAAACTCAGACGCATTTTGTAACAGTGTTCTGCCTATGAAAACAAACTATTGATTGTTCTCTTCTCATTCCTGCCATCACACATTCAAGCATATACGAAACATAGCAAACATTTTCGTGAATCACGATCGTAAAGAAGTATTGAATTATAGGGATAGAAGTTAGGATCAACTCCCTGCCCCTGCCCCCCCCCCTCCATCACATAATCGTAATATAGTTTTTAAAAATATTCTTTTCCATCATAGACGTAGTCAAAGAAATGAAGTCTTCTTGAAAATTATTATGAAATGAGATTGAGTTGAAAATACTTTTCTTTGATTCCCTTTCAAACTTTATTGTAACATATTACGAATAATATCTTTCATCACGGACATATCAGTACGTTGGAAGTTACAAATCGAAGCATATGTTGTAGAATACCTTAATTTGAAATATATGCAGATCCACTTTGGTTCATATGTTTATTTCTACATGAATTTTGCTAACAGTTTTTACCTGTAACTCTCGTATCTAGTGTCAATTGACTATAATCTTGTTTGTTTTTGTTAGATGTAAGATTACTAATTTTATAAATTTAATTCTTCATCAGTCAGGATTTTGTTTGTCACAAAAAAATTATAATGACAAAGTATCATTCGAATATAATTATTATTTGTCTTATAATATTTTTAACTGTCAGTCTATTTATCTATTGGCACTATGTTTTGTCATTTTCCAAACGATTACGAGTATCAAAAAGATTAGTTTATTCTGGTATTACTATCAATTCATTTAATCCATTTCGTCTTAATCTTACATTTAACACAAATATTATTGAATCAAATATTTTATCTATTATTGATAATAATGCTATTCTTGTACAATTGTCTAAACCATCACAAACATCGACTATTACAATGATATTATCAGATGGATTTCATCATTTAGATATTTTACTTCTTGATGAAATAGAAAATATTGAATTTTATCAAGCAATTGACATTGCATCGGGTAGTCAATCTTTAAAAGTTACCGTTTTAGATCAACAATATAAACCGGTTGAAAATATATCAGTCCATTTAGAACTAGTCGATTATTCACATATTACTCTTGAATATTATACAAATCATTTTGGTGAAGTTATTTTTCATTATTTACCAAAAAATATTCAAATATTTATTGAAGCAATTTATATGAACTCAAAACGTCATGCATTTGTTGAAATAGATACTGATCATTATCAAAATATAACTCTAATATTAAAAGATATGAGTGTATTACATGATGATGAATATAGTCCATTGGATCAAGGATATTATGCTAGTTAAGTAATGTTTATGTTGCAGTTCAGTTTGGAATCTAGTTGAGATTGGAATTACTTAGTTCACTTTGTTTGTTTAAAAATTTTTCTAACACATATTCAAGAAAACTTGTTTGTTTGTTATCAAATTTATATTTACTATTATTTCTGGGACAATAAAAAGTATCTTCGTACTGTTATTTTGTTGATGAAAAGCTACTAGTTATTCTATTTATTATTTTCTTCTAAAAGTAAATCTTACTCATCATTTTCCCTATATTGTAGTTTCTATATCGGTGCTCGGGACATGAGGACACTGAACGATTGGTTGAAATGAAATCGAGAGTATTTGAGCTATTTGCTTTTATAAAATTTTTTTTTTCGATGCTCGTGATATGGGTGGATTGGATGATTGATTAAATGTTTAGTGTTATAAAATTCGTCGTTAAAAAATTGAAATTGAATGATTCATGCTATTTAGAATAACAGCCGATTTGATGTCGGATTGATCGAGTAATAATTGGACTGTAAACGGATCTTTGATTATCTATTCGATAGACTTATTGTGGGAAAGTTTATCAATGTAAGATTGTAGTTTAGAATTAAGAATGCTCATTTTTTCTGTAGGAGATTCACATGAAAAAAAATTTATGTAATGAAAAACAAATAGACATAGAATGTGTTTCTTGATTGAATGTTCCATAACAACGAACATCAATCGATTAATTATAAAGAGATGAATAAAATTCATAAAAATCTAATACTCACTAAATAAGAATAGTTAAAAATGAAAATTTTCTCTATGTAAATATTTCAAAAGAATTCAAAATAAATCATAGAAGTTCGACCAATCATTTAGAATCGATAAAATTACAAAAGTTGAATACAATAGTAAACAAACATTAATTATCATGTGACTTATACTATTAACATGCATTCCAAACTCAACTGAATTCCCATGTCAACTGTAACATTTGTTTTCTTTCTTCAATAAATTCACTACTAAACAAAATGTTGTTCATTTGAATCAACTACAAGTCTTCTTCTTCTTCTTTCCTCAAAAAAAAAAGTCAATATTCGTCAGAAAAATCGAAATGGACGATAGCTTAAGGTCTGATCTCCTATAAACGATGTGGTATTTTATTTGGCACTTTATTGTTTTTTGTCAAAATTTTTTGATGATTTTCGTCACAGTCTGCTTGAGTCCTCGATTCTATATATTTAAGTTTGCTTTTACGTGAAAGAGCATATCAAGATGCAGGACAAGACAGTCTCTTTTTTGAATCTGTTATATAACAGAGTACTTTATGAATTAAAGCGTCATTTTTTTTTCGAGACACAGAACTTTTCTTCACGTAAAAAGTAAGAATTTAAAAAAAAAGATTATGTGATATCCGACATCTTGACATGCTCTTTCAAGCAGAAAAGCATTAAGCATATAAAATAAAGATTCACGCCGAATTTTGGGTTGTCACATGAGCTATTATCGACCCTTGTTTATTGAATATCTTCCGAAAGCACTATGGTTGAGAGCTGAAAATTTTACTGTAGCCTCTTCACTACATTCCCAACATATCCTGGAAATTTCATGCGATTTAAATGTATCTGATCAAAGATTGATTTTTGAGAGTGGAGACCTTAATACTAGTCTATTTCCTGAAACACGATCTAAAAGAGATGTTGAAATATAGAGGTAAAAGTTTTGATTCTCTCTGACAGATTCTAGTCAGAGATCATCACAGACGATGACAGATATTGTTGATATACAATCACACACACACACACACACACACACCATATATCGATAACATCTCATTACAGTATATGAAAGATTTCTTTATTCTATTTCTCGAGAATTATATAAAAGGAAGATGAAAAAATGTGTTTCAAGACATATGAAATAAAACAATATACTTATGATTAGTAACAATAATTACATTGTGTTTCACATTTTAATCCCACAAGGATTATGCTAATAACTTTTTAAAATAATTTTAATAGTTATATATATTTAATGAATATTATACATGAAAAATATGTTTGAGTATATATCCTCAAAAAATAACATCTTTGTCATTATTAGTTTTCTTTAAATGAAGTTTATGTGTTGTAGTCGGTGTTCGTTCATTATGATGAATATTTCGAGAAGGTGATGATGAAGAAATTAATTCTTGTTGTTTTAATGGCCAACATTCATCTTTATGTAATTTTTCATCAAAATCAATACCAGTTATTGATATTCTTAAATTTCTTCGCATAACGTCACGGATATTTTGATTGAAACGTTTTGAATCATGTTTAGCTTTAAATAAAAATTCAATAAATGCAATAACCATTGAACTTCCAAGACCAATAATTAATACATAAAACATACCAGCAACATTAGCTAAATTAAGTGGTGTACTTTGTTTTGAATCTTTTGATCCTAAACTTGTACATTCACTTCTTTCATAATACCATTTTTGTTTTAAACGTTCAAGTAATCCACTTTCAGTTAATTCTAAAACAGCTATATTAATAGCTTCACGTAAATCTGAACCAAGTGGTGTAGCTATTCCATAACCTTTAGCATCAATATTTTCACCAATACGCATTGTATCACATGGATTACGTTCATTAACATATTCATTTAATGTTGATTCAAGTAAAAAAGCAAATTTACCTTTTGATTGTCGAACTTTTTCAATACCTTCACTATTTGATGATACAAATACATCATCTTGATGTTGTTGCATAAAATCCCACATACGTTTAAATGTTGTTAATGTTGATTTATTAAAAAAAGCCATTGTTGAACCACCTTTTAATGTTCCATAACGAATATCTGTTTGTTTAGCAAGTTCTTCAACAGTTTCAACAGGTGGAACTAATTTTTCAATAGTTAAAAAAGCTGCTAAATTAGCTGTATATGATGATACAAGAATTAAACTAAAAAACCACCATGCACTTGTTACAACTCGACCTAATACGACACATAAAAAGAATAATCAATCGTATAGAGAAGAAATTAAAAAAAAAAACAAAGCAATCAAACCTGATATTGATCGTGGTAAAAGATCAACACCTTGATGCATAAATGCGGCAAATGAAAAAAATAAAGCATTATGTAAAGAAAATTTATTTCGTGGTATAAGATCCGATTCATTTTCATAATACCATTCATAAGGTGAAAATCGACTTATAAAAAATAATATTCCACTAACAAATAAATATGAAACAATAACACATATCCAAATTTCTTTTGCTAATGGATCCATAAATGAAAAAACACCTGGTTTTTCTTTTTCAGGTTTACTTATCATTATTGATATACCTAAATCAATAAATGGTTTTGAAAAATCTACAACTTTTTCTCGTGCACCATTTATTGTTAATGATGCTATAGCTAAATCAGCATCACGATTAATTAATGCACCAACCATACCATCCCAAATACCTTTTTCAATTTCTTCTCCATATTTTGTTTCAATAAGAAATTTATATGGAAATTTTAATCGATCATGACATAGAGCATAAGCTAATTCAACACAAAAACCTTCAAGACGTGATGGATCAAGTATAGTACCATGTGGAATATTTCTTTCAGTTAATGTATCATTAGGAGTTTTTTTTAACATTACAAATGGTTCATCGAATATCGTTACAATTAAACGTGTATGATTATGAAATGACATACGAGATGGATATGAAACATTATCAGCAACCTAAATATAACAGAAAAAAAAACATATTTGATTTCATCTGTTTATAAAATATCATAATGATATTTTTCACGTGTATGAAGAAACTTTTAAGCTTATAAATATGTATAGAACTCATTTAACTTTATCATTGTAATCAAAATTAGAAAATGTTTTTGATTATATTTCTCTCATTTTCAGGGATGTGATGCCCTCTGTTGTCGAAATTCATTCACATAATGCCCTATTGCTTTTAAAAATTGTTCACGTAGCGCCCCTCACTCTTCTGCCTCAAGTGTTGAGTTATGTCTCTATTCATTTTTTTTATCTACTTTTTAAAATTCAAAATATAAACTATTGTTAGATATGAAAAATCATCGATATACTAGAGAACTTCGAATCTGATATTTTTAGACTTGAACTCCTATTTTCATTAGACTCTAGCGAATACAGATGCAGAATAGATTTGTTAAACTCTAGTATAATATTTAGAATAATATTCAGATTACTGTAGAAAAAAGGTGGAGAATAATAAATTCTCGTTATTCGTTTATTACCATTATGTAAACTCTTTTTTCATAAATCTTGACAAGGTTTTGTGACTTCTTTGCAAATTCATATACTTTGTACTGTTTTCTGTATCCATAAACTCTGTTTGGGTATATGAACAGAATCAACTCTCAGGCGATGGGTTTATTATTCTCCAGTATTTTGTTACAGTAATGTAGATATTATATTTGTCAAAAGTTTCATTTTTGTTTTTCAAATAAAACGAATATGAATAAAAAAATAGTCCATTAGATTTATTATCAATCATGTCATAGAAAAAAAATTTGATTGTTTTATGAATATATTAGAATATTTAACTATATATTCTTTTATCGTATATAAACATAAATATTAAACTTAATATTTAATTTGTTAAAATTTTTAAATGAAAAAATTTTACCTCAAGAATATCTGGTGCTCGAAAAAATCCGATATGTTTTGGCATATTACTGCCTGCTACTCGATAAACATCAAATGTATAATTTATTCTTTGACCAGTTACATTTGAAAATTGTACATTTCCTGTTAAACCTTGAAAATTTGTATTAATTAAATGTTCGAAATAAATCTTTCCTAATGACAATGCTTGATTATAATTATCTTGACAATCAACATGTTGTATTAATTTATTAGAAAATTTTTCTTGTTGAAATACTTTTAATTGTTCATAGACATCATCTGTTGAATTTAACATATGATTTATTGTACGTAATAATGTTTCCCATGCATCAGCAAGTAATAATGATTCAACGAAAAAAAGATTTTCTTTTTTTAATAAATCAATATAATTTTCATTTGTTTGTTGATTATAATATGATGGTAAAGTAAAAAATGTTACATTAACACCACCATAACGAAAATAAGTCATATCAAGTTGTTTAGCATCTAATGTAAGTAATATATAATGATAATTTGATGTTGTCATACTACGATGTTTTATTTTATCTAACATTATACGATATGTATCAAATGCCTGAAAATCTAAAACAATATAACGATGTTGAATATTTGAATTTAAATATATTGATGATAATGTATGCACTTCTGTATGTGATATAATTTCAATACTTTGTAATAATTCATATGAATCATCTGGATTATCTAAATAACGACTAATTATATTTAAATTTTGTATTATATTTGATGTTTGAATTTGTATGAGTTGTTTAAGACGATGAGCACCAGCAATATCATCATATATATATACAAGTTGAGTTATTTGATAACGACGTATAAGTGAAATTAATGCTGGTAAAATATCAGGCATTAATGATATAGAAAAATTATTTCTTAAATGATTATTATTATTATTTAAATTAAGAAATGGAATTTGATATGTTGAACAAAATGCAGATAACCAATCGAGATCATTGGAATTTATATGACCTATGATAGACATCATTCCATTTGATAATTGATTACATAATTTTGACCATGGATTGTTTTCACAATCATCAAATTTTGGTGTATCAATAACTTCAATTATATTATATTGAAAATCTCGTTCGATTTTATTAAAAATATATTGACGAGCTAATGAATTCATACGAGTATAAAATTGTTGATCATATTCATGAAATATGAAACCTATTAGAATCAGATTAGTGTTCTATATTTATTTAATTTTAAAGAAACTTAATCTTACCAACAGGTATATTTAAAGTACATTGGATAATGTTAATATGTAAAAAATAAATAAATAATAATAAATTAAAATACATATTCAAGAAAATACTCATGAGAATATTTAAAATATATTTCTTCTAATTCAATCGTTGATATGTTGCCAAGAACATAAAATACGATGATTCTATGTTTTCATTCTGTTAGCTTAGTGATCATCGAATGAGTATAGTTCTATTCGATGTCAATATGATGTGACAAGAACATTGAACGCTATATTGACTTTGCTCTTACCAACCGATGTGTCATCAACAATACTAGAGAAAATTTTGTTATTATTATTACTACTTCTGTAGTTGCGCTTGCGTTCTGCACGTCATTGCTTTTCCTATTCAATCCATTATCATTCTAATAGAACTCTCATCGAAGAACTTTTGCTTTTTCATATATATATATATATGTATGTGTATGTGTGCGTTCATCCACTTTCGTGATCGATTATCGAGAAGACAATATTTTTTTTTCTTTGTGAGCAAATACAACTTATTTTTAATACAAAAGAATCGTCTTTTTCTTTTTTTGGTATACTAAATCATATAAATAAATGATATTAAATCAATGTGACATTAGGTTTTTAATTAAATTATATCATCACAGAACAAAAAAAAAAAACTATTATAACAAGAAATATCACATAGGAAAAAAAAAATAAAAATAAATTCTATTGTTTTGTTCACATCACGGATGATGATTCAGGTGTTATACCAATAGCAACTGTTGATGTTTGGTCTTCATTGATTAATCTTTTTTTAATATCATTTCTTAATTGAATATTCGAACATTGTTTAGATAATGTATCATAAACTATACTAATTAAACTATGAATCATTCCTAAAGAATAAATACCAAAAAAAAAAAATTCATTTAAATTAACTTTAATCGACTTACCTGATGTAGCAAAGACACCACCAAAAATACTACCAATTTCAATTAATAATAACCAATATGATCGAAGAATTTCTTTAACAGTTATTTTTAAAGGACTTATTTCATATCGAATAAATATGCCTGGTATACCATGACTACCACTATTATGATCGATAGTTCTTGTCTAAGAAATAAAAATAAACAAATTTTTTTATTTCGGTCAATTCTTTTGGGACGCAAAATGCATATAAGCGTTTCCGGTCTCGGAACTGTCTGATCTATTGATGCGTAATATTTATCATTGATTTAACTAGCGATGTTCTATGATTTGACACGAGCGAAATATATATGTCTTTGAAAGATTAATAACGCTGATTAGAAATGCAAATTAATTCACTCTAACTACTCATGTTAAAAAGATAGGTTTTGTTCGGTGATAAACGACTAAAATCGATTTTTTCGGTATGCAATCTCGTAAATCGATTAGAAAACCAATTGATTTCAAAAGTAGTGTGTTAAAATCTATTTTGTTTAGAATCATCTAAGCAATCGATTTCTAATTGATTATTATGTTCAGTTTCAATTATAATAGTTGATGCAAATCAGAAAATGCTGGTTAAAGATCCTACGATTTACTGTCAAGCAAAAGTGATATTGTTTGCACAGTTTTTTTTAATCGGAATTAATCAGAGTAATCAATGGAATTGTGATTTTTTGGATTATTTTTCGATAATAATCGTTTCCTAGCCGATTAAAAGCGTATGATTTAATCCATTTTTGTAAAATAATCTGAAAAGAGTCTATTAATATAGTACTTTCAGATTAAATTCAATGAAATAATAGGTTTTGCTCGGTGATAATCAACTAGAACCAATTTTGTTCGATGGTAATCAAGTGAAAACTATTTTTTTCCAGAAAGCAATCTAGGACATCGATTTCTACTATAATTACAACTTTTCAATTTCAAGCAATTTATTATAGGAATTTCAAATTTACTATATTTCGGTGATTTTGATTCTGTGAGAACTTTATTGTTTTTAAACGCGCACAATCCAAAACAATCATGGAAAATTGTGAGTTTTGTGTTCAAATTTCGAAAAAAACTCCCAGGTCGAGGTTTTTTCATCGTGCTCGGTCAAATCTCTAAACTATTCGACTGTGGGATACCATCGGACTCCGTCGATAGGATTCGATGATATCTAATAGTGGGAACTTGTTAGGTCCGATAAAATCTGATGGTATTGCAGTATCTAGTTTTGCTTTTTGTGATTATTAGACAACATGTGAAATATATTTTTAACACTTTTTATGATGACGGGAAGCCGTTTTTCACTATCCCAAGTAAAACATTCACGCTCTTAAACGAATGTTTATGGTAACAAAGGAGCGCTATACAACTTAACGAACAGTAAGTATAAATTATTTATTTAATTTTTTTATTTATTTCAGATTATATTATGAAATGAAGTCAATCAAACGTGAGTGTAAATTATGGATTCTAATTTTTTCTTTATTTTTAAATTTTTTATTGAAAAATCTCGAGAAACTTAAAAAAATAAAAAAAAATACATTAAATTGAATATTTTCATCAATTTAATTTCATGTTTTTGATAAAAATATCATTTTCATTTCATTGGCTTGATTAAAATACACCAAGTTTTATGTCCATTTCATCATCTGAAATGCTATTTTTTCATATTTTTTTATATAAAACTCATGAAATTTTTTCACTTTGCAATTTCTTGAGTTGAATGTAGCAATAAGTTAAATTAAAGTACATTTAATTTTTTAGCTAATTCTATAAGAGAAAGACAGTAGAGGTTCAAACAATATATAATGTCAAGATCTAAAATTCAACATTATCTCATTGGATCCTATTGGATTGTAGGTGTACTCAACGTTCTCCAGCTATTGAATCCGATGGGATCCAACTTTAGGATTTTTTGACTTTGACGCTTATCTTCATTATTTATGATTAAAATCGATTAAAAAGTAATATTTATTACATTGAAAGAGTCAATGTAGAGCAAAAAAAAAGAATCCCGTTCTCAAAGGGATTAAATACCTTTTCTGTCACTGCATATTGATATGTTTCAACATTTGAATAACTTGTTTGAACATCAGTTGGTACAACTTCGAGAAAATATTGATATATTTGTGAACCTTTAAAATATATTTAATATAAATAATAATTTTAAGAAAAATTATTATTTACCAGTATTTGCTATTTTTAAATCACCATTTAATGGTTGAATAAGACCAGGTGTTGGCAAACCAAATGAAAGATGATCAATACGATGAGAAAAATTCAAAGCTAAAATAATAGATATAAATATTATCAAAATAAATATTGAATATTTATATATAACTGTTGCGTCATAAATAATGCCACCATTAGTATTTTGCCCATATTTCCTTTATTATCTTGACTATTCGACTTCGGTTTTTTTTCAAAGATTTCTTATTTAATTGTGTACAAAACCATATGACTTTAATAGAGTTTGTTCGTTAAGTCATTTCGTTCAGATAATGAAAAGTAAAGATGTTCAAAAGCTTGTTTTTTTTCTAACATCGAAAACTTTTTGAGACTTAAACAGTACTGTAGATCTTCGGACAACCACACGCTAGTGCAAGATAATTTCTAAAACTAGCACTATTAATCTTGCAACACCAACTGCATGTCTACGTACAGGTCGAACTGGAGCAGTCATTCAAAAAATTTAAAAAAATCTGTATTATGTTCTCTTCGAAAATTATTCCGCAACCAATTTGAGAACTATACCCGTTTGATTCTCTATGCTTCAGTAATCGCCGATTTCACTGTCAGTTTGTAGGATCGTAGGTGTAAATCATCTTTGAGAATTTGACGAGTAGTTGTATTGAAGATTTCACATTTGATAGGAAGTTTATGGATAGACATTTTTTTTTTGTAAACGTTTTCTTTACTTTTTTAATAGTTCCTTCAGTCTGAACTATACATGAACATCCAGGTAGTATTGAAAGATCAATAGAGCCAATCTTGGAAATTATCTTTCATCAATGTATGACTGTTTGAAGATTTACAGTGCCGTTTAAGTCTCAAAAAAAATTTTCACTTTTAAAAAGAACAAGTTTGATTAAATGAGGAATCTTTTGAAAAAAATCGAAGTCGAATAGTCAAGATAATAAGAGAAATAGGAGCAAAATACTAATGATGCCATTATTTCTGACGTATTCGGTATATATAAAAACCGACCATACCCTGTACACCCATTGGACTTATATGCGCATGTGCACCAAAAAATGAAAATGATCTAGACAATTAAAGAAAAAATGATAATACAAATCACCAAAACAAAATAATTATCTGCTAGCCCAAAAACAAAGCAACGAATGAGAAAAAAAACAACATGCTTTTTATTTGAGAAAGATAATGAAGATTAAGAGTATGACTATGACTTAAATCATAATCGAAATCTTTTTTGTTAAATCTATGAAATAAGAATTGTATTGAACATGTCAAAGATTCATATAATTTACTATGGAAATATAAATAAAACTATGACTTACTTTCCAAGAATAATATGAAAATTGCCTGCAAGTTTATTAACTTCTAATGTACCATGAAGTCGACATGCATCCGGTTTTCGCTCTAATTTTATTTCTCTAAAAGATGGTTATTTTTTGGCTTTTTTGTTTTGTTATAAAATTTTCAAATTTGTTTTTTCTCCTCTCTACCTTTCAGGTAATTGTTCAATAGTATGACCACTTAACCAAAGTAAATCATGAATAGCATGATATTGTTGTCGTATTAATTTATAACCTGTTTGTAGACGATTAAAAGCTTTTTGTTGTCGAGGAGATAATTCAAACCATGTTTCTTCTTCTTCTAATTTTCCACTAAATACATAAGATAATATTTAGAGTTTGAATTAATTTAATGAAAACTTACCTTTCCAATGGATTTGTATTTGTAACATCAAGTACATCTGAACCAATTACTATTAGAAAATAATATGATGAAATTTTTTTATGAGTTTATTTATTTTTGAATAAAATAATCATGATGATAAGATTTAGGATTTTCTTTTGCGAAAATCTACGCTCGAGATTATGTGCACAAGAGACATTGATAATATGTTACAATCTGAATTTAATTCTTGGTATATTACTATCAAAAAGAATCTAATAATTTGATTTTCTATGACGAAATCTTTAGAAATAAAATTAATATTTTACTGTTTATTAAAGTTTTGTTTGCAATAAGAAAATTTTCTCTCTGAATTGTTTTTTTATATTTCGGCATGAAAGATATATTCAACATATAACAGAATATTATTAAGATTGTAAAATTTTCAAGCAAAATAATTCTGTATAATAACCGTTTATCGAAAAGTAATTTGACATTATGCACATTGAAAGTTAAGTTTGGATAGAGAATATTGATGTTTTTTTTTGCATAGAATTAAAGGCAAGATTGTTCTTTACAATGTGATATTAGAATCAAAAGTTTCAAAGCAATGATTCAGACTGAAGCTCGTCCAAACTAAATTTACGAGCTTTGAAAAGGTTGGTTCATAATTCTTAGATCAGAAGTCTTACAAAAATTATTGTAGATTTCTTTATAAAAAGATGAAAAATGAGCGAATATTTTATCAAATTACTTTCTAATAACCCGTTGGAAAAAAATCAGTAACGTTAATGCTATGCAAAAAATTAGAATAAAACACTAAAAAACAACTTTTTAATAAATCTATTGTTTAAAATAACAATATATATATACTTGTTGATTGAATTTGTCAATTGAATATATACTTACATGAACAACTCATGGCTATAGTTATATCAATATTAATTTTAAGTTTACTATCATGATCCCAATCGACATCATAATCATATCTAAGTGTATTACTTTGAAATGTAGCAATATGTATAACACTTAAGCAAATTACAACAATAAAAGTAATAATCGAAACTAAATAAGGATGAATATTTTAGAAATAGATAAAAATAAAAAGAACAATATTTTATTTCCTTTTTTTTGTTCTTACTTGTTCCTCCTGTTGTTGTAGGTTGTTTAAAATCGTTCTCAACTTTAACAAATGCATCTAAATCACGAACTATTTCAACAGGTATAATAGGTTTTCGACGTTGTCTAAGAGTCATCTAGAAAAAAAATTAATAATAAATACTTGTTGTTTTATTCAACTATTGCTATTAATTTATTTGATTCATTGGATGACAAATGTATTAAACGTTGAATATATTCATTTGAAAATTCCGAACGAAAAAAATCATTTTTTTCTTGTTGATTATTTATATCAAAAAATAAAAATGATTTATTAAAACCGGTTACAAATTTATTTGTATTTTGTATTTGACATGATTTAAGTAGACGACGATGGCTAGGAATATTTTCAATGAGATTTGTTTCATTAGCTGAACGTATATCCCAAATACTAATTCTATCTGACTTTTGTTCATTATTATTATGACTTATTGAAATAAGATGATTACCATCAGATGTAAATGTTAATTGTTCAATATTTGATAAAGATTTAAGAATACGTGCTGGTTGAGCTTGTTCAATAGCCCATAGAATAATTGAACCATCATTAGAACCAGATGCTAAATATTTTCCATTGGGATGAAATGTTATGGTATTTATATCATCTGAATGATAGATAAATGTTCGAAGAATATTTAATCGATCTGGTGTCCAAAGACGAACAGTTTGATCCATTGAACCGGATGCAAAACGATCAGATTTGTAATGTACAGATAAACACCATACAGGTGAAAGATGAGAACGATAAATTGTTATAGAATTCGAAGAGAATGAACGCCACAAACGAATATCTTTATCAGCTGAACATGAAAGAATATAACATCCATTAGGATCATAATAACATATGTCTGAAATGAGTTTTGTATGACCTAAAATGACATATTATAGATAAATGAAGTGAAATATTTTTTTTTAGTATTGAAATTACACTTCAATTTGAGAAGACTTCAATTGTTTAATATTATAAGTATCTTCTTTCTTTTTTTTTCTTCCATCTAACTGAATGAAAATTTTAATAGTAAAGAACTTAAAATACTTCTCTATCAATATCGAAAAATTAAAGTTATCTCACTCCTATAATGCATACCATTTAGTTTTTGCTATTTGGAGTTTCACTTAAATATAAACAATGCTAGTTAGTTTATTCATATGTAATTAAAAGATTTTTTTTTAAAGCCAAATGGTTTGCAATCGGATTCAATGTCATCTTACGGAGAAAGACCTTTAACAGATTATTCACTTTTAAGTCGAAACTATGTGCATCATGTAGATCTTAATAAGCTATAAATATTCTGAGAACAGTTCTGGTCCCATTCAGGAAAATCAGCAAAACCTATTTTTGAATTCCCACTTAAAACTTCAGACCTTATGCTCCTATCCTCACATAAGAACACTGAATCTGCCGGCATATACAAGCGATGTAAAAGACACACTTTTATGATAGCTATATAATTAGGATAGGAACAAGAAAAATCTTATTTTCTGGTTTTCCTGAATGGGACCACGCAACAAGCTAAGAATTCGAACTCTTTTCGAAATATTCATAGCTCATTAGGATCCACATGATACATATAGTTCCGACTCAAAAGCAGTTATCCCATAGGGAGAACTTCGTCGTTAGTATTAAGCTTGCGACAAAGTTAATTGAAATATTTATTCAACAGATTCTTTCGTTTTTTAACTCTTATTATCATTATCACAGACCTATCAGTTGTTTATACGTTGAATTTTTTCCGTTTGATGGTAATTGTGTTTGATAAATAATGCCTTGATCTGTTCCACAGACAATTTCCTGTTTACTATTAATATCAGCACACGTAAACCACTCATTATCATTTTGATTTATTAATTGATGAGTTGAAATATTTGGTAACATAGAACTTTTTTTTTCTCTTACAAAAAAAAAGAAAATAATCTAAAAAAAAACCAAATGTGAAAGAGACAAAATATTCAGCAGAAATAAGGGATAAATCAATTTTACTAGTTCCATAAACACACAGCAGAAAAAAAAGATACTTAGGATATATATGTCTAATGACTAAACTAAGAAAAATGTTTATTAACGGGATTAATTTGAATCAGCAGTTGGAGATGTTTTAGCTGAAAGTGGATCAGCATATGCATGTTGTTCAGGAACTTCTTTATTATTTGATGAAATAGTTTGTGTTTGAGGTATACGTAATGATTGTTCACGATGTTGTTGAACACATTTAATAAATTTTTCAGCTAATAATGAACATTTTAAAACTTGTTTTGGATTAGTTAAATAACATTGTTCAATGTCTGAACGTTCTATTTCACATATTGGTGAATAAATATATTTGGAAAATTTTTTTTCAACTTTTTCTATTTCTGAAGCTAAATTTTCTTTAGTTAAATTTAATTTTTCACGATTAAATTGATCTTGTTCAAGTAATTTTCGTTTATATTCTTGTCTTAAACGTTGTAATTCAGCATCATTAACTGATGATGAAAGTGCACGCCATGTTTCAACTGAAGTTGTTGTATCAATTGTTGGTAATGGTATATTATCTGTTGATAATTTTAATGATGTTGATGAATCACTACCTGATGTACGAGGATTTACAGCTTGTGGAATACTTTTACCAACAGATGATTGAAGTTGTTGTAATGCAGCTTCAGTCATAAGAAGTTGATTTTCGACGGTTATATTACGTGGTTCTTTTGTTCCACTTGCACCCATTTTTTTTTTGTAAAAAAAAAAGGTCTCTAGAAGAATTTAATATAGTCGATTTTTCAAATTTTTAAATGAAAATAAGCACAAAAACAAATGATGAGTATTCTGTATTTTATACAAAATCATCCATATTCCAATCATTATTGAATATGATTATTTGAATATATAAGCGACACAGTCAGCGTCATCTTTATGTAGTTACTGCTGACAATTATTTGAATGGATAGTTTTCTATTCAATTGCTAAGATGTTATTACAAAAAAAGCTTTTTTTTTATGTTTTAGAGAAAATGTAAAATTCAAAATTGGATATTATTCTTGAAGATTTTTATGCCTTTGACAATGCCAGCATTATGATTAGTTTTATGATATTAAATATAAACGGATAAGTTTAGTAGAGATATTTTAAGAGTGATTCTGTTTGTTTATATGAGAAGAATTCAAATATATTATTATCAGAGATATTCGAATAAAGAAACTTAAGTTCTTTTGAATATGAATCGCTTATTATTCTTTACCAATTAGATTATAAAGAATAACACACCTGCATTTAAATGTTAGCAGCACTAGATAAAGATATTGAAATAATGAAAAAAAAAAGTTTTAATAATTAAAAATTCAGAGAATATTTTGTAATAAATGCAAACATCTATTAACAAAATAATATTCATTTCGCATAGAGTATTCGATTATGAAGGATAAAATTCAAATAGATTAGGTGATATCAAAAATAATCTTCTTTATACACCTTTTACAAAAAAAAAAATGAAAATTTCATTGAAAAACAAACATTATATTGGAATAGACACATTTTATTAGAAGTCTTAGAAAGCCCGTACATCAACATGATAAGTATCGATCTAATAAAATAAATTCATCGAGACTCATGTATAAAGAATTTTACTCATAATAAATATCATTTGAATAGTATATCTTCAAAATCTAGTTTCTTTCTGTTCAATGCGTACATTGCAATAACAGATTAGTCTAATCTAGCATTCATGTCGACTACATGTCATATATGATGCCACTTAACACTAGAGATGTACAGAATAAGCTTTTTTTGGTATCCTGTACCCTAACTGAGAGAATTTTTCTAACTCTCGTCCTACCCTACCCTGCACATCTCTGTTTAACACTCATACATATATCTACTTAGATTTATTTGCCTTCGGAACAGTATACAAGTAATTATTATTCGCAAAACAGATGATAGAAATGATTTTTTTTGTAATTCAAAGTTTAATCAATATGCCATCTCATTTTTTTTACATTATATGATTTTATCTAAATATTTCAAAGAATAATGATTGTATGATTTCGATTTCATAAAAGATTCCTTTTTTTTATTTTAGATTAAAAAAAAATGTCTCATAAACATCGTCGAGAAGAAAAATCTTCGTCTGTTTCTCATCATGACAAAGCAAAAATGGTTATTCGTCAAGCATTTAATAAATCAGTGAATAATTCTGATGATACAAAACAAAATTTTAATTTTCATCTCTATGAATCTGATAGACAAGAACGTATTAATGAAATTGTTGATGATGACGATGGAGATTTAATTGTTGAACGTCAATCACAACCAATTAGTTCCGAAAAACCATCACGAATAATTGAAGCTAATGATCGACGTCATGATGCTGTTATATTCGGTGATAAAACAGTCGAAGGTAAATTATTTAAATCAATTAAAAATTATTCTTTTTTTCCTTTTCATATAGAACAACAAAAAAATCAAATATGGGATAGTTTTAAACAATCATCAAAATATTCGACAACATCTTTAGCTGGTCCTTTACTACTTGAAGATTCTGAAAGCAAACGATTACGATGGAAAAATAAAATACGTGATTTATGGATTCAACGTTATAGTGTGAAAACAACAATAAATACTATAGATATGGATACAAATTGAAAATTTTCTTATTTTCTATTTTCAAATAAAATCTAAACGTCAAAATAGTCAATCGAAGACTTTTGTGTTTTGTTTGTGTAAATCAAACATTTTCTTTGTTTGGTTGTTTTTCTTTAAATAAATTCATTTGGTTCTATCTAATTTTTCAGATGTCATCGTCTGAATATTATTGTGTGCCAGGTGATCGTTTATGTCCATGTGATCGTGCTACAGCTGGCCCAGGAACATATGAAAAACAAAATTGTATTTATGCAAGTATTGCTGGTACTATTCAACTGACAACAGTCGATCAATCATCGAATAATTCAGATAAAAAACCTATTATATCTGTAATACGTCAAGATCGTTCTCTAGCTGTTCCATCGGTTGGTTCATTGGCCTACTGTAAAATAACCAATGTAACATCGCGTTTTGTACGTTGTCTTGTTTTTGCTATTAATAATCAACCATTAAAAACACCATGTCATGGACGTATTACACGAGAAAATATTGAAAGTATAAATAAAGATTCTGTTGTATGTAGTACAAAATTTCGACCAGATGATATTGTACTTGCACGTATGTTATTTATTTAAATATTTAATATTTTCAACAAAACAATATCTAATATTCTAGGAATAATAGCACTTGGTGATGCTAATGCATATTTATTAAGTACAGCAGAAGAAAATCTTGGTGTTATTACAGCTCGTTCCGTAGCTGGTAAATTTATATTAAAAACGATGAGAAACAAAAAATAAAATTAAAAATTTTATTTCTAGGTGGAAAACTTATACCTATATCTGATTGTCAAATGAAATGTCCAATGACAAATACTGTTGAACCACGTAAAGTTGCTAAAATTCAAGCTGATTTAACTGATGAAGTATCAAAACTTACATAGAACCATTTTTTCTGTTTGTTAAATTTTTGTTTTTTTTCATGTATTTCATAAAGAAAGAAATTATATTATATAATTTTTTTAAAGTTCGTTCGATGAGTTCACCTCTTGTTTATTTGATAAATCATATCAATGAATAAACATGACAGTGGCATCATGAGAGGAATTCGAATAACAATTTGCTAGCATGAAATTCATAGCCAAAAAAAAAAATAAATAAAATGTGACTGTTAGCAACTGTTCCTTGCAGAAACATGGATAAACAAAGTCCAAAATTAAGTGATATTTTCGAATGAAAATAATTTAGAAGATTAGATTATCCCTATACAATGTTTCAATTATAAAAGTCGACATTTTTTTTCTAGCATGATTTGTAATATTTAAATCTCTAAATTTTAATGTTTCTAACAAAATATACGACATCTCTATAATGAACTATTATGTTAAAGCTTCTGAAAAAATATATAAACTCGCTTTTCATTGATAGAAAGTTGTATTGACTTCAAGTTCTTTTTATACGAATATATGGTATATGGAAACATGCTTTCAATTGATTTCTAAATATGTGAAAACTAAATTCCTTTGGCTCATCATACTTTCGATCAAGTTAGAATCCAAGATAGGTACATATTGTTGAATTGACGATGAAGATCTCTATCGAAAGTAGAGCTATCAATTGTACTCCATTTAGATTTTTTTCTTTGGACTAAACCTAAATCATCTTTTAATTAAACAACGATGAACCTTTCTATTTGTGCTAGTATCATTTTCTTTTGACTTCTCAATCTCACGCTAAAAAGTACATTCAGTTCTCTATCAGTTTTTGAAAATTTTTTACTTTGCACGACCATTCATGTTTTTTTTAAGATCTAGACAATAATGAAAGTTAGAAGAAAGAGTTCTTAGGCTACATACAGATCGTGTGATAATGATCAATCGAATCAGAAACGTTTATTTAACTGATTATCCGAATGTATTTGAATAAGGCATATCAAGTCATATGAAACATGCATAGATATCAAGCTGACATTCCATGATAACTAAAACAACTGCTGATGCATTGAAAATTCTATTAGATATAAAAATCCAATATGAAGATTTTTATATATTTATATAGTCTCAGTCAGAAATGATCAAATGTGCGAGAACCAAACAAAACTAGATAACGTTCAAGTTTCAACCGACTGCAAAATATAGTGTAAAGCTTCCAATATCAATTGACAGATAAATCGATATTTTCTAAAAAAAAGAAATAATTGTTTTCACGATTGAATTTGAAACACTTTTCTCCAAAAGATAATCCCGCTATACTGGATTCAGGGCTTCTTTTTTTTGTCGCTACCAATCGGGAGAGTTGTGTTTCGACCAATCTGCTGATCAAATCTCTAATTCAGTATCGATCATCTGCTCATTGTGACACATGCTAAAATTGTGTGAATTTTAAATGTGAACGAACAAAATTGGAATATTATTTCTTTATAAATCGTGAAAATTAATAAAAGAAGAGCAGTTAATATACCATAAGAAAACAAAATTTCTTTTTATTATACACATATTTCGAATGAATATAAATCAAAAGTCATTTTAACAAGATTGTGAATGATGATATATTTATTCTGTTAGTCTCGCTTACACACTCTTACGATGTTATTGCGCCTCACTGGAAAAAAAACGTGGATATAACAGTATTTGTTTAATACGAGTTCGAATGTAAATGAAACTTTCGTATTCACGTATGACATTAATAACCAAAAGCAAACTATAAATTTTCATATGTAATTTTCATTCAACTAACGACTATTCTATTGAAATAGCAAAAAAAGTAAAGACTAATTTTATTTTGAATATTGATTCGAGTTCGAATTCGAACTGTTTAATAGTACTTGACACGATTAAAGTTCATAATTGCAATTAAACAGCTCTTAAGATCGTGCAATACCTATTCGATACCAGTTTGCGTGGCTTTCTAGAAGAAATTTGGATGATAATTGATATAAAACTTTTGTTTATTTGCTATATTAATATGCAAAGCGGTCACTTAAGTATTTTATTCATTTTCAAATTGGTAATAGATACTTCGATCTTTCATTTTTTTTCAAACTTCCATTATGCAAATCATCATTACTCCAATTACCATCAGGCACGATACATATCACTGAGGATAAAGCACAATGAGAACGGTTATTTTACTTCAATCACCGGTTAATGATCAACAATATCTTTGGCAGGCAGAAACCGTTGTTTAATTGTTGCCTCAGTTAAAATAAAATTTATGTTTCTTCTTGTATCATTCACATTATCAGCATGGCAATCATATGCATAAAGAGCAAAAAAACATCAAAATGACGATGTTTTTGTTGTTTTCTTTCGTTCTTGTTAGAAAGACGAAAAAAAAACGTTGCTTTGAAAGAATCAAAGAAAATATACAATGTATGAGACACGATATCTAATGCAATGAAGCGTAAGTCACGGTTCACATGAAACACAAACGAAAGTAGGCGGCAATAATCATAAAATAAATGATGTGATTGAGATTTTTCTTCTCTGTCATTTGTTGTTTACAAACAGGTTACCAATTGCAACTAGGTAGAGTTTGTCGTTGAGTGTCAACGGGAAAAAAAATCACGTTTGACGTCGTGGAAAAATTCAGAAAAAAAACAGCGTGTATCGAATATATAAATACAAAAGGTAACTTCTGTTCAAACAGCTATTTATTACTCACCATAATCCATTTCTGATTGGACAGCAGATATTATATCCAAATGGGTGGACAAAAATCCAAACAAAATACAACAGCTTCGTCGACTATTATGGAAGGAAAACGACGCATGGTTGAAAATTACTTGATCATTTGGGTTGATAGCAATATCGACGTGACAAGCAAAGATTATCAAGAAACACTCGCCCAATTGCGCAGTATCGTTAATGAAGTCTACCCATGTACCACGGCCGAGCAATGTATTGAGAAACTCCAGGAAAACAATGAGGAAACATCATTTGTCATCTCCTCAGGTGCACTTGGAGAATATCTTGTACCAAACATTCATGGCATGCCAAAACTTGATGCCATATACATCTTCTGTGCCAATAAGCAATGGCATGATGTATGGGCCAAAAATTGGACAAAAATCAAAGGTGTCCATACGTCAATCGAGCCCATATATGAAGCGCTGACAGTGGCTGTCAAACAATGCAATCAAGATCAGATTACGGTCAATATTATTAGTGCTAATGGAGAAGATTCTAGCGAAAATTTCAATCAGCGAGAACCCTGTTTCACGTACAAACAAATATTCAAGGAAATACTCCTTCATATGGAACACGGCCAACAAGCAATTCAAGACTTGCTCAAGTTTTGCCAACAAGACTACCAAGGCAATACCAAAGAAATGAAACTTATTAACGAGTTCGAACATACTTATCATCCAACATTGGCTATTTCGTGGTATACACGAAAATGCTTTATATACAAAATGCTCAATCGCGCATTACGAACTCATGATGGTAACATCATCACTAGAATGGGATTTTATCTTTGTGATGTTCACCGACAAATTGAACAATTACACAAGCAACAGGTTAGTCTCTATATGGGCAAGGCATTTCAAGTTTATCGAGGCCAGGGATTATTGACAGCAGACTTTGAAAAACTCTCGCAAAACAAAGGTGGACTTATATCATTCAATAATTTTTTATCCACCAGTAAAAATCATGATGTATCGCTCAACTTCGCTAAAGATGCCTTAGGAACAACCGATATGGTCGGTATCCTTTTTCAAATCACCATTGATCCCATGGTCTCATCCACTCTATTCGCCTTCATCCAGGAGGTGAGTTATTACAAGGATGAAGAGGAAATTCTCTTCTCCATGCACACAGTTTTTCGAATTGGTGAAATTCGAAAAATCGATAGAAATCGTCCACTTTATGAAGTAGATCTTAAACCTATGTCTGATGATGACCAACAGCTCCGTCGATTAACCGATTGCTTGCGACAAGATTCATTAGACAGTACTGGATGGTACCGTATAAGTAAATTACTGCTTAAAATAGGTCGATTCGACGAGGCCGAGGAACTGTATACGGTACTACTAGAACAGGCATCCAACGACAGTGATAAAGTAAATATCTATTACCAACTTGGATGGTTGAAAGATGACCAAGGACAATACAAAGATGCAGTTTCATATTACGAAAAATCTCTCCAAATGAAGCAAAAACCTCTCCTACAAGATCATCCGACATTAGCTTGTATCTACAGCAAGTTCGGTCAAGTGTATAACAACATGCATGACTACTCGAAAGCACTTCAATTTTACGAGCTAACACTGGAAATCGACAAACAAACGTTACCTCTGAATCATCCCAATTTGGCTATTTCCTACAGCAAGATTGGTCAAGTGTATAACAACATGGATAACTACTCGAAAGCATTTGAGTTTTATGAAAAATCACATAAAATTCTCGAAAGAGCTCTGCCTCCGAATCATCCCTCATTGGCTATTTCCTACAACGACATCGGTCTGGTGTATAAGAACATGGGTGATTACTCGAAAGCACTTGAGTGTTACCAAAGATCGCATAAAATCTTAGAAAAAACCATACCTCCTAATTATTCCCATTTGGCTGCTTGCTATAGCAATATCGGTCAAGTGTATAAGAACATGGGTGACTACTCGAAAGCACTTGAGTTTTACGAAAAGGATCTAGAAATTACGAAAAAGACTCTGCCTCCGAATAATCCTGATTTGGCTGGTTCATACTACAATTTTGGTTCGGTGTATGAAAATACTAGAGAATATTCGATGGCGAAACAATTTTATGAACGTGCTGTTGAAATTGCGCAACTTTCACTACCCTTGAATCATCCACACCTTCAATTGTATAAACGCTGTCTTCTAAATATAAACAAGAAGCTGTAAATTCGTTTTTTCTTCTGGCTTGCTTAATAAATTTGTTTCGATTGCTACTCACTTCCCTTTCCTACATGTCTCGGTTCGTTATCATGTACACACGCGTACGACTAAGAAAACCACTTGTAAACCTGAAATGGACACACGCAGAGCGAACCACGTCGAACTGGTATGGCAATGAACATAGATATGAGATAGAATAATCGTGACAGGGACCTATAAACATAGTAGCTTTTCCAAGTACTATCTTGCTTCTCCATAACAGGCACAAGGAATCTCCCCGGGCCAGATTAAGAAGCCACCTGACAGGCTGTGATATAATATGATATCTCACGTTACTACTACTACTACTACACAATAGCACAGCTAATACCAAAGAAAAAAAATAAACATACAAACAGAACTTTTATTTTACGTTCATGTATTACGATTAATAGTTGCATGTATTTGAGGAGAAAACTATTCCATCTCGAATAGATGATATGTCTACCTTATTGATAAAAATTATCCCTTAGAAGTTCTATTATTCACTACGACTACTAAACTTTATATTCCTTCCCTCAATTTGAAATAGAAATTAACCTAGCTTACACTATTCCATTACTTTATTTCTTCTGAATACACAAAACATTTCAAGCAATATACCTTTCTAGTTTTTTGTATTTTTGATGTAGATTACGTCATTTGTTATAATTTAACAGATGAAAGTAAAATCATATTTTGATATAATAAAAGCTATTTCATGTAAACGTCATCGGAAGTTATTGTGTCATATGAATAATAATACGTTTGATTGGAACGATAACATCGAGGCCGATAATGCGACTTCGGAATATTGTAAACGATTTTGTTGTAATATAATATATATATAATAATTAAATGTTATTAATTGTCATTGTAAAAAATCTAGTTATAATTTTAAAATGTGAGTAATATATGTACAGGGTGCGTAAAAATATTTTTCCAAGGGAGTAACGCTGTGATTTTAAATAGAGTCAATAATAAATTTTATACCAAATGAAAGGGCATCAAAAATGGGATTTGTCAGTATTAAATACTATGCGTTCTGTCAATCTTTTTATATCAAACATAATAAATTTCTAGAAATTTTTGCAGCATTACTTCGTAGAAAAGCATCAATTTGAATCAAATTTAGTTTTTGAACTGTCTCATGAAAGAACTTTTTTCACACTAAAATAGCGAAAATTTCTAGAAATTTGTTATGTTTGGTATAAAAAGATTGACAGAACGCTTAGTATTTAATATTGACAAATCCCATTTTTGATACCCTTTCATTTGATATAAAATTTGTCATTGATCCTATTTAAAATCACACCATTACCCCGTAGAAAACCATTTTTATGCATCCTGTTTCTTGAAATTTATTATGTTTGATTTAAAAAGTTTTGTAGAATCCTTACCATTTAATACTAGTAAATCCCATTTTTGACGCGCTTTCATTTGGTATAAAATTTGTTATTGACTCTATTTAAAATCACAGCGTTACTTCCCTGGAAAAATATTTTTACCCACCCTGTACTGTTGATTTGTGAAATAATTATGTAACCCATTCGAATTGTCTCGAGTTGACAATCATGATTGAAAGTGTCTGTGTTAAACCTTTTCCTATTCATATTTCCAAGGCTTTAAGCATAGATCGCGGAAGGAAGGAGACATACACTCTCTCCTATCTCAATGATTGAAAATTATTCATTATTGCTCAGTAGGATTAGCAAGACTTTTGTGTCACATATTCAAAACCACAAAACAAATATGCTCTTTTCAATTGATACAACATTTCAATGCACGATCATATCTTTATTTGCAAAACTAATATCAATAATCATACAAAATCTATCTGTGTATCAAAATTTTATCTTTTTCTCTCTTTTCTTTTCAAAATCTTAGTTTTTTCTGTGTGTATTTCTAAAAGACAAAATAAGAGAGCAATGAAACAATATCCATATACACACATGAAAGAGAACGAACAAGAGAACGTCGAAGAAATCAAATATAACAACAATAACAAAAGTAATAATAAACAGAAATAAACATGTTTCCTTTTATAAAGTTGTTTTATCTTTGTTGATTTTAATGAAAAAATAATAATAACAATAAAAAAATTCTTTTCATAATTGATAGATAACTTTATTACTACCAGCTGTACTTTTCTTTCTATTTATAAGACTAGTTGTTGTATTTGTTTCTTGATTATGAAGCTATTGAAAAATTTAAAAAAAAAAAACAAAAAAAATTAACTTTATTTTATCTATATATTTTATATTCTTACTTCGAATAAAATATGAATTTGTCGTGGAATATTGATTAATTCACGCATACGTCGTCTGAAGAAAAATAAAAAATTTATCTTTCGAAATTAATTTCAATCTTTAATTAATATACCCAATACGATATATAAGTTGTTGATCATGATGAACTGATGTCCAAAGTGCAATACGATCACAACTTTTTCGTGCTGAAAGAACAACACCATTAACATAATTCGTATCTTGTGCATATTGACCACCAATGAGAGCTAACATCTATTCAAATTCAAAGCAAAAAAGAATTTTATTTTATTCAAGATAAAGAATAAACGATTAGAGAAAAACTTACTGAAGCAAGCCAACAAACATCAAGATTTAAATAGACCTGTTCTGGTTTAGAAAAATAAAGAACCCAACGACCACCACTAGAATTTTGTGGATCTTCCCAACAAGGTAAAATAGAACTTTTAAATAACATATAATCACAACTTGGTGGTAAACGTGAAGCAACACGAAGATGATTGAAAAGACTAGAAAAAAAAACAAATGTACAGAATTAAACGTTTTAAATATCAAAATAAAGATCAATTCTTCTCAAAAGACAAGGATTTTTGTACCAATTACTGGAATCATCATTATTAATTATCCTTAGTCATGTTATAATATTCATTAATTTCATAAAATAAGATAAGTTAAGCACATGATTAGTATAAAGCTTCCGACTGATGAAGATAATCGAGTGCAAAAATCATCAAAATTTTTCTTCGATAGTATAGAACAAATCTTAGGGAAGACATTAATCAAGCAGAGTGATACTTAGTGAAAATTTTCAAAAAACTTTTCTCGACTTGCTGCATAATAATGAATTATTTTCAATTATTGTAGAGACGTATACTTCGCACTTTTGCAAGACCTGATACTTACTTCTATCATAACACAAAACAACGATTTCCAATGAAAACCTGAAATTGATTAATGATCGTATCAAATTTCAAAATTTCCTTTTAATTATCAGCTTTAGTCAGATTATCCGAAACTTTATTTAGAAACAATGGATTCACTATACGTTCCCTTCTTATTTAAACGGAGTCACGCATAACGACCGGTTCACTTGAACAGACTCATCGCTCATAATATAGCGATGAAGCTTCCCACTAGAGACTTTTGACCTTCGTTTAGAAATGAGACAATCCTATGTTATGGGCGAAGTAAATACCTATTTTTCAGCTTCAAACGAGGGCTACATCCTCCGACAAATTTTTTCTGGCTTCGCTACTACTATAGCTGTTGACTAAAATTCTTCTGATCTAATCATTTTTCTTCTATTCAAAAAGTTGAGTTTATATTTCAAACAGACATATTCATTTTCACTTCTATCAAAATAATCATTCAATCAAATGAGATGATTCATTCGAAATTATTCTATTAACTTACGCCCAAAATTCTTCGACATAACCAAATGTTGCTAATTTCATTAAATTATCTTGCCAATCTTTTCCTTGTTGATTTTTTAAATACCAAAACGACCATTGATGTTCAAGTGGATGTATTAATTCAATTTGTTTATTCATTAAAATAAGTGGTGTTGGTGATTCATTTGTTTCTAATGTTGAACCATTTGATGATGATGATAATACATGCGATTCATCTTTATGTTCACCATTATTTAATAATTTTTTTTCAAGTAAATTTGTTATATTTATTGGTTTAACAGTATTTAATTGAATTTGTTCAACTAATATTTTAAAAAAAATTTTTTTTTCTTATTTTCAAATAAAGAAAAATTATTTTACATACAATTATCGTTTATTTGAATAATATTTTCTTTGATATCATCAAGTAATTCATTAACAATATTGGTTGTTGATTCTGTAATAAGATTTGTCATTTTCGTGTTTTTTTTTCTATCTACTATTTCTTTTTACAATCTATTTAACTACAAAAGTTCGACTTACGTATGTATGTATGTATATAAAAGAAAGTTTTAACTAGCTAGAAGAATAATGATGATAATACCTCGAATCGATGTGTGATTCATCTACTGATGATACCGCGCATGTTATTTATTGAAATAAAAATGAAAATAAATAATTATATAAATAAAAATTTTAAACATATTAAAAACTAATTTCATTTTTTTTGTTTCAAATCGAAAGAAATAAAAAATGCATTACTGCATTATGTTATTTGATTGAAAAAAAATTTTATTGGATGATTTACAAATAGATCATTTTTTCTGATTTGAAATTATTTTCATTTTTAGTATTATTAAAATGTATCGTTATTATATAAATTGTAATAATTGGAAACCAACACGTGATGAATGGATTTATGCAACACGCTGTATAATAAAAACTGAAGTTGAACGTATTGATCGATTTATATTTCAACGTGATGCAAAATTTGCTCTTGCTGGACAATTATTAATACGTTATCTTTTATCACAAGCATTTCAACGTAAAAGTTCATCATTTCAAATACAACGTACTGAACGTGGACGTCCATTTATTGAATCAACACCAAAATTTGATTTTAATCTTTCACATCATAATCAATTAGTTTGTATTGCTGGAACATTTGATGGACAAATTGGTTGTGATACAATGGAATATCGAATAAATAGTGAATCAAAAGAATCTATTGAATCACTAACAAATTTACTTCGAAGAGAATTTACAAAAAATGAATATGATTTTATATTAAATAAAAGTAAAGATGAAAAAATACGTTTTTGTAATTTTCATCGTTTATGGTGTTTAAAAGAAAGTTATGTTAAATGGTTAGGTTATGGTATTGGTTTTACATTATCAAGATTAAATTTTTGTATTGAAACAGATAATTTTGATGAAAATCATCCTCAACAAGTTATATCTAATACAAAATTAGAATTAGATAATAAATTAATTGATGAAAAACTTCGTTTTGATGAACAAATTATTTATTTACAAGATAATGAACAACAAATTATAACATTATGTTTATCAAATAAAAATACTTGTCAACCATTTATTGAATTAACTATTGATGATATACTTAAAGGTTGTACACCATTAGATGAAAATGAACATGATGAAGAAAAATGGTGGAATAATTTTCAACAAAAAAGATTAAAATAAATTTTGTAACGTAAGTTATCAATGTTGAGATTAATACAAAGAATAGAGCATTTGCTGATTATAGAAAATATTTTGAAGTTAAAATTAATGTTTCGTCTTATGTAAAGAAATGACTTCCGGTTTAATTTCTATGTTAAAATGAAAGGCATTTCACATCTATCAGATTAAAGAAAACGTAGATTTGAATTATACTAGAAGTTGTTTAGTAAGGATGTAGATATAAATAAATCGGATTTTAAACTCAAATTAAAAGTTGACTTTTCTTCTTGCGCTGAATTGAAGTGTCAAAATTGCCAATTGAATACTGACCTGTACTTTCATAAATTTCCGACATGCATTTTCATTTTGACAGTTATTATTTGAAGACTTCAATTATGTATATTGAGGAAAGAACATTTCCAATTGTCGAATGCCATTCAACATGATATTATGGATACAAGTAGATCTTTGTGAAATTAAGAAAATCTTATAAGAATTTGGATCTATCGCCTTATTGATGAAGAGTTATGACTACTTTAATGAATTTTTTCATCAAAGTAAAGCATTTTCGAAAATATTAAATTGCAAAATTTTCTCCTGAAATGTTGTTTATAGATATAGCTAAAAATCATTGAGAAGTTTCAAAAAAAAAACAAACCTATCGTTCTCGAGATACTTAGCTTTCAAATGGATTTGACTATTGCATCCTTCTCTGGGTAAATAGCTATTTTTTCGAAAATTGAATATTTCGAATAAGACACATTCGTTTTCTTGGAAACTTGCAAAACTTTAAAATGATTATGAACTTGCATTATGATATGCTCAAACATGTCTTGCTCTTACTAAAAAATTCACCAAAACAGTCATAATATCAGTGCGAACGGTTTCCGACAATTGAGGACACTCTGTCGTGAGATAAATTTGATAAAATCAGTGACTGATACTTAACAACTCATTTCTAGTGGATCAGTAAACATTGGTTTTTCTTTTTAAACTAAACTTGCAAAGATCATTCTCTTGAAAGTTGTAAAATAATGATCTTGAAGGATTTTTTGAAATATTTGTAATTTTCCTGAACACATGTACATAGTTTCATGATAACTATTTTCTAAAATTTCTATTCAGTATTTGGCTTATCGAAACCGATCTATTTATTTATATTAAACTGGTAGGAAACTTATAACTCTAATCAAGACAATTATATATTCATATCTAGCTACTTTCAACAGTTCTCGTCAGAATTTAAAGCAACTAATCAATATTTATTTAACGAACTATTATCTGGTAATCAATTATTACTAAGCTTTATTTTTAAAAAAATATGCCTTTCATTTTTTTTTTTTTTTTGCTTTTGATTTTTCATACTTACGAGTCTAATATGTTGACTATGTATTCTTTTTAAATATTTATTGATTTTTCGCATATGTTGGTGCTACTAATAATTCCAAAGTCTCAAGTTTATAAATAATAAAAATAACCAAAATAAAATTTCTATTCTTTTACTTTAAAACAAGAAAAAAAGAAATTTTGAGTTATAAAGAGTGATTCTCTTAGTATCTCTATAATATTTCGACTATCTTTTCACCTAATTGAAGATTTTATTTTAACAAAAATTCATCTTTCAATTTCCAAGAAAAATATTTATGTCTATTTGCTTAAATATTTAAAATAAATTTTTGCCAAATAAAGCAAAGAATTGATATAATTGTCATGACTTCAAAAAAAAAAATAATTTTTTTCTAACATTTACTTTATTTCAGGTTTCCATTTCTTAAATTGATGGTCATTTTTATTCAACTTTTGCCCACTTTATGAGCACTACGAGTCTATCTCATACACTGTAGCTTCATGGATTTAAATCGAAGTTTACTAAAAAACTAATAATCTCAATATTGGTAAATAGCGGTTGGTTAAAAAATGAATATAGGTATGATCCAAAGGCTAGTTCACATCATTGATTAATAGAGTCCATTGACGTCTAAATTATATAAATATAGACTCATTAAATTTATTTCAAGTATTTAGATGAATAGAAACAAAATGTTCTATTTGTCTAGAAAACTGACAAATAAATCTTTTAAAAAAAGAAATTTAAATAGAGTAAAATATAGTCGAAATATTTCAAAAAAATATTGAGAAAATCATGGTTTATAATGCGTAAGTATTCTATACAGAATCATCCTTAAATATTATTATTTATTTACAAAATTTTCATAAAAACAATGATATAATTTCAATTTATTGTTTCACTTCCATTATCAAAGCATCTATAATCTTCTAATGCTGAATAAATAATCGATTGGTTTTATTTATTAAATAATAAACCAGTAGAACATGGATTATTATTGAAATTAATAATCAATCATTTCATCTTCAAGTTTACATCAATTTGGATATGGTATTTTCAGGAAAAGTTTATAAATACCCTGAAAATAAATAGATTAACCTGTGGTTTTCTGCAATTAATTTTACATATTCCTATGGGAACTTATTTCATATGTTTTTCTTTATTTTTTTTTTTTTTGTACTTGATATTATCTATATATGCAAATAGAAATATGAGTAAAAAGCATAATTTATGTAATAAAATATATTTATCAATCTTCTTTTTTTTGTTTTGTTTTTGGTGAATATTTTTTCTATACAATTTGTTCTTGAACAATTCAGTGATAAACTAAAAGTGTTCGTTCAATTTTTAATCAATATTCGAATTTCGATTCTATGAAGTAAAGAACAAATTCAATTTGTCATGAATATCATCTCGCTAATTTGCATGTTAGAGATAGTCTTGAATATCAAAAATAGAAAAAAAAACAAAAAACAAAAAAACTGAAATATCAATAAGACATACAAATATTGAAAATTTGTAAAAGAAAATAGGACGCTCGTCACGGATGTGCAACATGTAAAAAGGAATATAGACTAAGAAAAAAAAATATTCAACTGTTAATATTCAAAAATAAGAGAATTATATTAAGAAAAAAATATTAAACATCGTCCGAATTATTAAGAATTTTACTTAGACGATTTTTTTTCGATTTTTCTATATGATTATTCTTATTTATTGATGATCTTTTTCGTTGGTTTTTTGTTTTTATACGATGATGATTCGTTGATATCGGTGATTGTAAACGATTTCTTGTTCGATGTTGTTGACGTGCGGAATGATGTTGATTTGGTGAAATATCTGTAGTATGTTTTTGTTCATTTGAAATAGTATGGTTTGTTGATTTTATCTTTGATATAGTCTTAGATGGTTTGATTTCATCATCAGAACATTGGCTAACATTTGAAATTTCATCAGATAATGATGATGAAGAAATTTCAATAGGATGATGTTCAATCCTTCTGTGATTTGTATTCGATTTCGATATTTTAGGTTTAGTTGTTGTTGATGATATTCGTTGAGAAATAAGTTTACCATTAGGTAGTTTTTGTGATATACCATTAGTTTTATTATATTCTGATGTTAATTTTTTAATAGACATTTTATCTTCGTCTATTTGATTCTTTTTTTCATTTGATTTTTTAGTTGATAATTTTAATTTTGGTATATGTTGTGTTTCATCATCACTATCAATTGAACTCTTAATAACATCTACTGTTTTTGTTGTTGTTGTTTTTCCAGATTTTGTTCTTGATGGTTCAATTTTCGGTTGTGTTAGAAATACTTCATCATCACTATCATTCTCACTCGTATCACTATCTGAATTATTAATACGATTATCATCATTATCACTAGAATCTGTGTCAAGTGTACGTCTATCAACATACGAAGCTGTTTTATAATCAGAATCACCTGTATGACGAGATCTCTTAGTAGTAGTAGTAGTTGTAGTTGATTTCTTTGTTGGAATAGCATTATAATTTAATATAGAAATTTTTTTACATGTAATACGATAAAGTAATCGACTTAATAAGTTCCATGAATTACTTTCAAATGTTGAAAATGTTAAACATTGAAGTATAATACTTAATATACGTAATAAAAAACATATTTTTAAATTTGTTGAATATATATTTTTTCTTGAAATCAATTGTGTAATTGTATTAGTCATTGATACGAAATAAAATGGAAATGATAAAAATACATTTAATAAAAGAAATATAAAAAATAATAATGTCATATAACGATCACCAGATTTTTTCATTTTATTTCTTATTTGACAAAAATTTAATGTCAAAACATTATAGAATATTGAAATAGCCATTGATTTAATAATTAATACAATTAATATAATAAATAAAATAATAAATAATATTTTAAATATTGATAATAAACGACCATCAATTGAACATCGATAAGATGGTGAAATTATTTTATTTAAAACATCACGAGCAATTGGTGGAGCAATATTTTGAACATTATTTCCAATTGTTGTCCAAACTTGTTCTTTTAACAATATAATTGTTGTTATAATTGCAATAAAACTAATCCAAATAAATATTAAAATAACTTGTGTTACATACGTTTTTGTAAATATTCTAGTCCATGTCACTGTTGATGTGAATCGTTTTGATAATCGTTCCAACGATAGAAAAAATAGAGCAAAATGCATAACTGGAATTGTTATGTACATAGCTAAATATAGATTAATATGTAAAATTTGAAGATATAATCCTTGTAGATTGGCGTAACCAGACAGGTGCTTAGCTCTTCCTTTACCAGACGATCTCCGTCCCGTCTGCAGATATGGTTGTGGGACAGAGACTATGAGGTTCAGATCTGAAAATTTGGATCCGATGGGTTCTAATCATCTGAGAAATGTGTAGAGTGCTCTAATAACTGAATACTGAAAACCGAAAAAAAAAATATCTTATATCTTCGGGACGGTTATCCAATTGAGATTAGAAAATTTCCTTGAAAGTATCAAAGTACGGTTCGACAAGATCCGGGTTCGAAAATTTTAGATTAGACAGGCTCTAGTCAGAAGGGAACTGAGCTTTCGCCTACAACTTTTTTTCTAATTACGCCACTACCAGAAAGATAAACGACAAGTCCAATAGATAGAGATGTAAAGTATTGTATTTCCAAGATAGAAACTTATTATTAGTGTTTGCTGCAAGATTTCTCTTCTGAAAGAACAATGCGAATGTCAAGATAGATAATATGTGCATATAATATTATAAACTTCAGAAAGGTAAGCGCCATCTACGTAGAGACATCACTCTATCAGACTGCATGCTAGATGCAATACTGCTTATTTCTAAAATTTAGTTTTGATGAACATCAATCAGAGAATTTTTTACTAGTATGTTCTCGATTACTATTTCAATTTTGAAAATTTTAACACTATTCCGAATTTTTCCACTCGTTACCAATATCTAGTCACACTAACAATAGAAGTGTTCGTATTATTAGTTTATAAGACTGGATATATTCGAGTCAAATTAAACCTTTCATCGGTGAACTAACAAATTTAAAATATAGATTATCCTTGGCATGCACTGATCGAGATAGTTGAATTTAAAGATTTTTACAATCTATGTAAGGTGCTCACAATTCAAAATTTCAGCAGAGTTTTTTTTGTGATAGTTAGATATAACTCATCGAGTTGCATACGAAAAAGTATGTTTCAAATCATAAAAAAAGTAGTTTCATGAAAAATATCTGATATACCGTGATTTTCAAATATAAGAGAAAATACATTCAAAATTCTGATCTCTTTAAGAATTTCTTTTTTTTTTTATAATTTGAAACATACTTTCTCTGATGCAATCTTTAAATATCTTAAAATTCGAATATCTCGGTCGGTGCATGCCAAGGACAGTCTATATTTTAAATTTGTTAGTTTGGCGGTAAGAGTTTAAATTTGATCCGAATATGTCTAGTCGTATTAACTAACAACACAAACATCTCCATTGTAAGCTTTCTATTAAAATATCTACATTAAGTTTATAAAGAATCTTTCTTAATGAAATTTAGTAGCATACATAAAAATAATAATAGGATATGAGTGTATTATCATTATCTGCAAAGAAAATTATTTTAGACTTTCGTTTGATTTCAATGAACTGATAATAAGCATTAACATCTGAATATTTACTATGTAAAAAACTAAAATATTTAAAGTTCATATGAATTGCCCAAAACAAATAACCGATGTCAAATGATTTAGTATTTAAATCCAACATCGAAAGACATATTGTATGTCTATGAACTTGATTTTAAGGACGAATAAGACAGTTTACAATGATTACTTTTTTTTTCTTTCATTTTTCAAGGAATGCGTTTTTATAATCCGAATTTCATTAAAAAATTATGAATATGAATTCAAAAAAAAAAAGAATCCATATATTAACTATTCAAGTAGTCAGTCAATAGAATTTTAAAATAATCAATTACAGATAATAATATCTTCTTGTTCTTACTATTCTTAGATATTCTCATGTAATAATTTTATCGAAATAAAAAAAAAAAAAACAAGAAGATAAGAAATATACAAACCATAATTAGCAAAATTACAAAAGAAACGATTCATTTGAAAATTTTCTGCAGCATTAATCATTGCTAATAATATATAAATAAGATAACATAATTCACATAAAAATATATGAAAAAATATCAATTTAACACCACTTGGTTTTATTCCATATTTTTTAACTGGTATAAACATAATAATTATTGTTGGAATTATACATAATATTGCAATAACCCATAAACAAATAATTGCTACTTCAAAATAAACATCTTGATCTGTTTCAGGACTAAATAATGAATCATAAAAACCTTTTGAAAATGTTTGATTATCATTCGATGACGATATGCTAGGAATTAATGTTTTTGTTTTATTTATAAGTGTTCCAAGATCTGTTCGATCTTTGGCAATATCTGTAAAATTTTGATATTTTTCACGTAAATTATGATATGTATCATTTGATATTAAGTGTCCACGAATAGATGATGTTATATTAGGTTTAATAACATTTTTAACTTTAGATTTCCAATAACTACGAAATGATGGTTGAGAATCCGATGACATTTATAAAGAATTTTTTTTTTGTGTTTTGTTTTTAGATAATATTAATCTATGTAAATAGACAAAAATCTTCGTATTATGATTCATGATATTTATATATCATCGTTTGTCAAAAATGACAATGAAAAGAACAAAAGAAGAAACGCAGGTGATAAATTTTCTCAGTTAGATATTAAAAAGACACCTGTTCTGTTTTTGTTATAACGAAATTTATGATCTGTAAGACTTCAATAGTCATTATAATAAGTGAAAGTCTAAAACAAACAATGAGATTTTATGTACATACGTATAAAAATGTGAAAGTAGAATAATAACTGTATTATTGATTTGATAAAAGTTTTTTCTTTTTTTTTTTGAGTGTTAAGTCAAAGAAAAAATATAAACGTAATTCAAAGAATTGTATAGATAAAATGTTTATAATCAATAAAGATAATTATATACTGCCTTTGGATTTTACCCAAATGTTGTGTAATGCTTGACTCAGGAATGGATTTTTTCTCTCTCGGTCAACATCTTTCTTTTTCTTTTTTTTCTGATTTTTGCGTTGGTTTTAGATTGTATTACATTTCTTTTCGCCATAATTCTCTCCTTTTTTTCTCTTCATATAACGAATATTTAGTTTCTTTTTACCTTGAAAATTGTTGTAGTGTACAGATGATGTATATAGAAATGTATGAAAAAGAAAATAATTCAAGTATTGATGCATAAAAAACTATAGAAATCAGGACATGCTCGTTTGTTCTTTGATTATTTTAGACAATTGAGGATTCCAAAGAAAACATAAAGTATGTTTCTGTTCCTTGTTATTCCGTCATTATTTTGATGATCAAATGATCATTTAAAAGTTTAGAAATAATAATAAATAATAAATTACCTTTCTTGTCTCTCTCTCTCTCTGGTGCTTTTTTCTTTATATACACAATAGTTTGACTATTAAAACTAAGAAACTATTTTCACATATCATCGAAGAATTGTTCTTTCATCTAACCAAAACAAGTTTACAACTCTTTGTCATCCTATCAATATATTATTTGAATATATATTTTTTTTTCGAAAAGAGTAACTCCATCCATTTAGTCATCATACACAATATATGAAAATGATCGATTTTTATCATCGCACACTAATATTAAATATACAAAATTAGAATATTCAGTTGTTTGAATTGATATTCAATACTTATATAAAATCTTTGACGTGGTATCAGCTGGATAAGTCATTAATAAAAGTAATGATATTGAAAAAGCAAAGCGTCATCCAACCTTCCCGATTTTCTTTTTTTTTCTTCGATCTACTATTAACTTATTTATATAAGACAATGATATCATCAATAAAAAGACATATGAATAGATAATCGAACACATTTGTAACATATCTGTTTGTTATTATTGATTCATGAAAATGTTATCAATTAATGCTTTTTTCTCTAAGTTTATCAATACAGTGTCATTATATACATAGTTCGACAAGATAAGATTTTCAAGGTTGTTTTATTCTTACAATTACATAAATATATTATCGTGTTATTTTCAATAATTGTATTTGTCATTGTGAATAATCTAGAAGGTTACCTATATATACTTATGACATCATGCATTGCATGTTATAGTAGCCAATTTTGTATTTACACATATATGACACTTTTCCTTGTCCAAAATAGAATCAAAAGAAAGAGAGAGAAAAAAAAATACTAATATCCTCAACATTTTTTTACTATTCTTCGAGTTTATGTGAAATGTCAATGATGGTAGAGGTTTTACTTCTATATTCTCTTTAGAAAATAAATTACATATAATATGTGAAATAGCAACCGTCATTGTATTCATAGTTAATCATCATCAGCATAAAATGCAAATTCTACTACTATTGACAACGACATCTAGTTTTATTTACATACATATATATTGTAAAAGAACAAAATAATTTTCTTGAATATATATAAAATTCTTTGTATTTAATGAAAAGATAATACAAAAAAAAAGGAATTAATCATTTCAATGATATTCAATATTAAGGTTTCACCTAGACAACAATCAGCGTTCATAATAATCACAGATATCTGCTAGCTAAATACATTGATGTATTGTATAATAAGGAGATGAAAATAATTTTAAGTTAATTGATTTTAGATAATTTAAAATAAAATAATGTCAGTTATTATATCAAATCGTCCTAAATCACGAATTAATGTAAGATAAAATAATACTAATCTTTTCTTTTCTGAAGAAGTTTTTTAATAGATTTTGGATAAACGTATACCACGAAATCCAAAATATGAAAATATTCAACCAACAATTGATTCAGGTTCTTATTGATATTGTTTTTTTTTTTGACAACTGTTTTATTTTTTATTTTCTAGGAAATAGTATTACAAAATTTCTTAAACGAAATGAACAATTACGTGCATGTAAGTCAAGAGAATCTTATTTCGTATAGAAAATTGATTGAAGTCAAAATACTTTTGATTTGAATTTATTCAAGTGGCTAAATCCATTCGATAAAAAAAAAAATCTTTAATACTTTTATAAGATAAATAGAATCCGAGCTGGACAACTCAATTCAATTCAAGTGAATTCATGAATTGAACTGAATGATACAGATGTAATCTCGAGAAATTCGATACATGATATTATGCAAATCGACACGTAAACGAAATGAATACTTTAGTTATGATTCACATCGATAGCGATTGATGCCAGTACATTAAGAACATAGGTAGATAATTGAGACATGCACATCATGTAAGCACTCAAAGCTATTAGCGATAATATTGTGCAAATATGAAAGTCAAATATAAAACTACGTGTATGATTTAGACACTTCTAAATAGAAAACTTAACGAAACATTACAAGAAAAAAAAAGAAGCATTTTATTTTTCTGAGGTTTTAAAAATTTATTCTTTCACAAAATTTAATAGAAATTTCATTTTTTAAATTGATTTGAACAAGATAAAATCAAAATTCAATATTTTAATATGAAGATAAAAAGAGTTTAATCAGCAAGTTTTCTTTGATATGAAAGTCATTTTCTTTTATGAGTGCTATATATATAAACTTCACGATTTCTTGATAGAAGTTTTTGAAAAAATGTCTGAATAATAGAAAAATATATTTATTTGAAAATATATTAATGACAATTTATTTGAGCGATAATAAAAAGAAAGGAACTCATGATATTTTTCAAATATTAATCAATTCGATTAGCCATTGGAATAAACTATTTAGTAAAGATTGATTTTTGTCAAGTAGATAAAAACAAGTGATTCTATTATTCTTAGAAGAGCAATACGAATAATCAATAAAAAAAACCCAATAAACTGACGTCTCTTCTTCTAATTTTTGAACATAGCAAAAAAAAGATTTTGCATATAGAAAGTCAAACTTTTGATTGAGTTATTCATTATCTTCATACATTTCGTTATACAGTATAACCTCTCTAAAATAAAAGTTCTTTCATACTCGGAATGCTACAAATAGTGATCAGGAGAGAATAATGAAACTCACAATGATCCGATCCCTCCTACAAAAGATGACCTGTTGCTAGACCGTCCCTTCTCTAGGACCTCTCTAATTCTATTCACTTTCAAAGACATTGTCTATTTATTTTTATTTCACATTCTGCCAAAGAAAGACAAAGGTTATTCCAAATCTGGTTGCTGTCCAAAATTACCACGAAGTCGTAAAAAATTTTCATTGAAAGTCGTACATTTTAGGCGGAGGAGGAATGTCCATATGCCCCTTCCTTTAATTGAAAGCCTTGGAGATGTTATATATTATGCTATGAAATGGAAAAAGTTTTAGAATATAAGCTTCTCTACTAATTTTGAAGTAATCAGAGATCATTCTCTGTGTTATTTATCCTCTTTCATTTGACTCTTTTTAAATACTTTAATTTTATTTTGTTTGATAATCATGTAAATATTCTCTGTTTTTCTTTTGTTTTAAAATTTTGAGTACATAATCAAGTGAAATATTCGAGTTTTTAAGTTAATTCATGTTGTGATGAATCATTACTAATGTTGCTTTCATTAATTGTGATGACATTGCTTTTCCTAATATGGGTAGTTCTAATAACAAACAATGAACAGTAGTTTTAATACATCAGTCAAATATGATGAAAAGGGGACGGAACCAAGAAAAAGTACGCATGTGCTCAGTTAAAAGGGGTTAAAATAGCAATTGGAATCGTAATAGTGTTATATTAATTATTTTAGAATGTCCTTATAGCTATTATTCAATTAATAAAATCACATGTCTGTAATTGTATCCTCTAAAGTAAACATTCGTGACATCCATAATTAATTTTCTTCTTGAGAATCAGGTTTCTATATTTTTTTCTTTTGTGAATATAAATTAGATTCATTAAAAATGAGAAGGCGTTAGATGATTTTGTGATAGTATATCGCTATAAAACTACCATGTGATGATTGTACTTAAGATATTTTAGTTGTCACAGATGTTATTCAGAAAGAAAAGTTCAAATCAAGTATAAACATAATCTTATTTCTAAAAATATGAAAAAATCTCTTATTGATGAAACAAAATAACTGATAGTTTAAAATGAGATTATAACGATATGAATATTGTCCTCAAGGAAAATTATTTTTAGTTTTCTTTGTTAAATTAATATTAAAAATTAAGTAGAATTTCTTACGAGTACTTTGTATGAACATTATTAATGATCATCTATCAATGTCGAAATTGATATGATATTTTATAGATTATTTATTAAATTTAAAACTAAAATTGTTTAATTAAAATTATAAAAAAAAAAGAATATAGAAAAAGATTTGTCATTTTAATATTTCAACAAAAATATCCTTGCACGAAAAATTTCAAATTCTGATCTAGTTGGATCCTATACTAATATTCTGGATAATTCAATGACTATTGAAGAATTTCGAGAGGATCTTGTCGAAAGTTATTGTATGTCGGATAAGCTAAGAACCTATTAGGTTCGTACTGATTTTTCAATAGAATGTCAATTAGAATAAATATCATGATAATGTGTAAAAAGTATTATACGAAGCTATAAACGACAAAATATGAGTGTCTATAGTCATCTTAATATGATGCTGTGATGATCATTATACATTTTTGGTTTACTATTTGATACATCGTTGTTGAAATTGACCTAGATAAGAAAAAGGATATCTTTTTTTAATTATATTTGACTACCTTACTATTACATGTTTTTCATGGAAAACAAATTTAAATAAAAAATAACTTAATTGCATTTTTATTACTTATCAATATAGATTTAGAAACGAATCATGATATTATTTAGTAATAGTAAATTGAAAGAATAAAATACATGAAAATAAAATCTAAATTATTGTACAAAGATTTTGATCTACATAAAAAAATATTTTTATGAATGATAAATTCTTCGATTAATTAGAAATGAAAACTACAAAAACAAAATAATAAATTAAAAGAAAAGAGTTTAAAATAATATACAATTTGTTTTCAAAATCTGTTTTCTAAAACTATTGCTCCGCATTTAGTAGCATTCTTATTATCTTTGAACTTCGCAATGGCATGAATAGATTTAACAGTTGCGTAATCAAATTTTAATCTCTTCGGATCAAATGGACATTTTTTTTTCTACTAATTATTTAAATTATAATAAAATATTATGACAGAAGACGTTTCAAAGAAAAAAAGAGATCGTTTGAGTGTATCTTAATCTTCTTGACGATTAGAAAAACAAGATATTACAGATTATCTATTGTTGCACCATTTGATAAACTTGCGTTGTTAGATTTTATCGAGTCCACTCGACGAACTTTAGATTATTAGGTTGTTAAAAATTGAACGATGCTACTAGTTTCCTATAAGATATTGATAATAGAATAGTTTAGGCATTCGCTTGGATATTTTTCAATCTGAGTTCTAATAAATTTATTCCAATAGTCTATTTACATCATGAAGATTTCTTTTTTTTTTTTGACATCATTGCAATCAAATTAGATAAGAGTTCAAACAGTAAGATATTCAAACGCTCAAGCATAAATATTGCAAGATCAATTTTTGATTGACAGAATCAACTTTTCTCCAGTGGCATTCAATTAAATCCTATAAATCATGCTGACTAATTCACTAATTTTCTTTTATTAATTTCTTTTATGAAAAAAGAAAATATAATTTAATTAAAATTTGGCGACATTAAGAACTTTTTCTTGATCTTTCATCAGTCAATATGAATATGTTTAAGAATAAATTATACTTATTAAAAGTTTTATTAACTATTACGGATATTTTTAGTTTTTTTGGTTGTTTAATTTATTTTGTTATTTAGTTATCGAATGTTGAAAATGATGCAATCGAAAAGGAATAAAACTTTCTATTTAATGGTCATAATTTCACTAATAAATTCTTTTTTGTATATGATAGTTATATTAATAAAGGACATTTAATATTAAATCGATTATAAACAATAATTATTTTATTTTATAGCAAAGAAACAACAATCAGAAGAAATATTTAAACGAATGAAAGTATCAACACTTATACAATTGGTTTGTTTAATCAATTGTTAATTATTCTATTTAAATTATATGAAAATTTTTTAGATAATTCAAGTAGCAGAAATAAATTCATTAGAAAATCCTAAAAATGATGAATATGGTGAGAATCGTTTTTTTTTTCTGTAAAGTTTATTTATAGAAAAACTATATATTGATATGAATAGATTCAAGTGCGTCACAACGAACACTAACTGATATAAATCGACCACAAACACAAGATAGTCAAAGAAGTATTGCTACATCACGATCAACTTTACAAGGGTCAATATTCTTATTATTTATAGAAAAGAAAAGAAAAATTAATTTTTCAAAAAATTTTAGTGTTATTCGTGGTGTTGGTGAAATGGATTTATATAATAAATATACAAATCGTTCTTCAACTATACCATCAGCACGAAACATTGCAAATAATGAACAAATTGATTTAGCCTATGAAGAATGCCCTTATTTAATTGTTGATCTTCGTGATAAAGATGAATTTAATACTAATCATATTGTTTCAGGTAATTCAATTAGAATTTTAATCATAATCATTTGTTTGATTTTGTAATTTAGCTCATCATTATCCAGTTGCTATGCTTTCACGTTGTACCAATAATGAATCGAGAGAATTACTTATCTATGTAATCCATTTTCTTATTTATCATTTAATAGTTTTAGTCACAGACAATAGAATATAGAAATAACCTCTCGGAGGCATATTAAACAAATATACATATATAATAACAGAGATAAAACAAAGTAGTTTGAGTTTTGTCAGTTCATCGGTATAAATATGTACTATCATCAAGAATGTTGACGAAGACTTTGACAATAGTGTTTATTACAAGAACATGCGAGTGGTATCATTATTTCAACAGCCGTATGCGTAGAATCGGGACATATAAATTGTTCATTTCGATGTCGAGTTACTATACATGCACTCGTTCGAGGTACAAATCGATTAGAATTAAACTCCCATTGAGTACTACTAGAACAAAAACCTTCACATACAGGTAACATTAGACGAGGTGGAGTTTTGCATATATTTAAAACAACAGTACGATTTTTAAGTGTACAATAGCCACCAATTTTTCCATGAACATAAATGAAGTTCATCGTTCGTAATTGTAAAACAATAATAATAGCACATACAGCTTTATAAACGATAAGAGCCATTTATTATGTTCAATGTGTCAAAATATAATAACTAATTGAATTGTGTTTGTTTCATATATTTATAATATAGATGGTAACGAGCTTCTTTTCTTTCCTTACATAATCCCAATGAAAAAAGAAAAAGAAAAAAAGAAAGAAAAAAAATAACTAAGTAAGACAAACAGTTCATCGATGTGATCTGATATTTTACTTGTTATTCTCCTGACATATCATATACCTTAGATGGAGATTAAAAAACCTTAGCAATTATTCAGTGAAAGTATTACTTTCACAGCAATAAAGAAAAGGATTTTAGAACGTTTATATGTTTAATATTTTAAAATTAACCTAATAGGTTTGAAAACTCTTTCTTATTAAAAAAACAAACAAAACGCTTAAGAAATTGGTTTTTTTTGTTAGTACAATAATTTACAAAATCTTATAATAAAATATAATTTTCATGTTGATTAGGTTATTCAGTTCAATGAAATAAGAAATAAAAAAGAAGTACTCTTCTTTATTATTGACGTAGTTTATCTCATAATTGGATTTTGTTTCTTTTTTTAACCTACAATCATATAATTATAGAAAAATCAAAAAGGCAAAATTATTATTGTATATGATGAAGATGAACGTATTGCGCCGCATGCAGCAACAATTATGGTAGAACGAGGTTATAACAATATATTCTTACTTTCTGGAGGTAAGTTTAATATGAATAAATACTTATGCTTTGAATATTTTGTCATTTAATTTTAATGAACTATTATTGACAATGAGTTGACTTCTAAGAGCAATTTAGAAATTTTTTTTTGGAATATTTATTTTTAAACTTAGTATCTATTCAGATTAAAGAGAATGAAAAAAATATCTTTTTTTGTTCACGCACAGCAGCCGTGACTTACATTTTTAATGAATTCTGACTCATCGTTTTTAAATATTATTACATATATATATATGAGTCATTCTGGTGTCTATTGTACCGTTTGACCGTCAAAAATGGCCTTGTTTATTTCTCAGTTCCTGTTCAGTCAAATTGCTCTAAATTAATACCAAAATATCTGTCAGTCATGCTCTACTTATGCTGTTAAAATCAGATTTCTATCTTTTATCGTCTATCAAAAATGCTGAAAATAAATTACTTTTTTTGTGCATTTTTATGATGGTTCCAGATTGGATGCTTTTCTTTCGGTCTTTTTTTTTAACTTGAAACAAAAAATGTAAATAATGTTTGATTGATTTTCTTATATCATTTTTGAATGCTCTATCTACTCATAATTTTATTTTCTCTCCATCTATTGTCACTTCACAGAAATTTGACATTCTATCAATGCTTACCGGAAACAGGAAACAAGTGCCCCACCCCCTTTTAAGCACAGTGTGAATCCAACAAAGACTTTAAGCCAAATCTTTTTCCATAAAAAGACTCATCAATCTGAACACTATCGATTAGTGAAAGTCAAAACTTATTAATATTTTTTGTTTTTAAATAATTTATATCTTAGTAGTGTCAATTGGCATTTGGCACACAATTTGTCCCATCCCGTTTTGCCTATCCCCTGACCAAACTAAAAGGAGTTAAGAGCTGAGTTTTTTACCATAAATGTTAATTGATAAGCACAATTTATATTGCAAATATCAAGACTCTAACCCATTTCTGAACAAAGTTATTAAAAAAAATACGATGAGATGCTCTATTCTCTAGTTAGTACTACCCTTCTGTCTGACTAAAAATCTAAAAAAGAAATTGTCCCAAACTGATCATTTTTGTGCTCCTTCTGGATACATAACTCGAAAGAAAATCTTCTGAAGATTATAGGATCACGTTAATTCCTGAATGTCACTAGTTTTCACTCAAATAAGACAATAGACCCTATAATAAGTTTCTAGGAAGCTTTCAGTCTCTAAATCAGACAAAATAAAAGACTGGTAGTTTGCAAAACTACTTTTTCTTATACTTTGAAATATTCTCTATCAGATGATGACACTTTTAAGTGCAGCCGTTTACTTTTTTTTCGATCACTTTTGCAAAAAAATGGTACAATAGATACCAGAATGACTCATATATATTCACAACCTACCATCACGGATGTTTCGAAATATATTGAAGAAAGAATTATGTCCATTAAACAATAAACAACAATGAGAACATTTGATGCAATAAAATTAAAGTAATATTTTGATTAACTTTTTGATTTGCAACAAAAACAATTATTCGATCTCTTTCAAGGTCTGAAAAGATCCTAAGTCAAAAAATGGCCAGGTTTTCGTTATCTTAAATGAAAGTATTTTTTTTCTAAATAAAGTAAAAAGACCTACAGAATAAATTATGCGGATACTAAAAGTAGAGTTCTTGCTCTATCGTTCTATATGAAAGTTTTTCTCTGTTGGGAAAAATATGCATGCTTTCTCAATCGAGGACTTTTCTAAAAAGACTTGTTCAGTATAGTTGGCGCGCACAATTTAGTACAACTCTAAACATAATAGAAGCTTCACAGAATGTTTTTCTCTATCTGACATATCTGCTCAATTAGCGTAAAGATGTACAAATGGTTCTGTACTGAGAAATAGACTTTCTAAGAAATCCTTCGTTTCGAAAGATTTTTCGCATTTATTTGTCTCAGAAGTATTTTAAGAGAAAACTAAACATATATTTGGAATTTGCACCAAAAAAAACTGCATTGAATGATGTGTCGTTTGGCAATTTTTAAAATAAAATATTTCCCGACAAAAGTTTAGAATAAGGGATCTTGTCATGCATTTTTCCATTGAAAATGTCTTTTTTTACGAATTTCACTTTTCCCCATCAATCTTTTTGTTAAGCACTGAAAATTAATATTTTCTATGAGAAAACAATGCGTCTGTAACAGAAAATGAGCTATGCCTACTTGCTCTATAGAAATTGTACCCTATGCACCAGTTAAAAAAGCGTAGTCATTGAATATAAAAATGCTTTTATTTATACTATCATAGGGTTATAACGTGTCGATTGTCTAGATATGAGTGATAATTTTAACATTCTACTTTTAGTATAAATAATTATACGAAAGAATGTATCATAACTCCTTTTGATACAATTAAATATCTTAAGAACATTCTAATAAAAGAATTTCAAAAGAAAACATTTAGAATTTCTTCTATTATGAAATAAAATCAAAACAACAACAAAAAAGAAATCATTCTTCTAGGTTTAAAATATGCTGTGAAAAAATTTCCACATGGTCTCATAACTGGTACATGTCCATTATCATGGACATTATCAAGTGTACCATCAACACCAATAAGAAAACTTACACGTACACAATCAATGAATATACTTCATAGTGAAGCACCAATAGGTCAATCAATTGCTACTGTAACACGACCATTACCAAGTCCAATGATTAAATTTAATATTCGTGAACAATTTACAAATTATGATATTGAAGAATTAAATGCACGACTTGAAGAAAATTTATTACCAAAAGATACTGCTTCACGATTATCACGTGCACGTGCTCAATCATCAAAACAATGTTCACGTATGTCGCATGTTTCTGAGCGATCAAATTTAACTCATGTTTCAGATAAACGATGGAAACCATGATCATATATTTCTTTATATTGTATTTGTGTGTATTATGTAGTCTTATGTATTGTCTATGTTCTTTGTTTCTATTAGACAATTTTTCTTAACATTTATTTGTTACAACTAGATATTAATGATTAATTATGAGAATTGAAATAAAAAAAAATGTTTCATTTGCTTAGTAACAATTCCATGTCAATCCATCAACATAATTTAATTTTTTATCTATTTAAAGAGAATGTAAATTATTTTGATGTTGGAAATACTTTAAAGTTTGAGATTTAAAAAAGAAAAGATTCATTTTTTCTATAGAAATAATGGGTTTGTAAGAAAATAAAATCTGATTTTTTGACTCCAATAGAAAATTATATATTTATTGAGATACAGAGATAACTCGGCTGAGGGAAGTGCTGGGGTTGTGACACCGTCTTTCGATCAAGAAAAGTTTTTATGTTTTCTCCAGCGGAGCCGAAAATTGTTCGTGAATTCTCTTAGAACAAAATTTTTGGAATTCTGCCAGTTTTAACTGCTGATTCAGGCCAGCACCGGTTAAACATAATGTTGCTGATCTTCAAGAATTCTGTTTCCAAAAACTGGAATAAATTTCAATAATATCTCATTGATTTTAATTATCATCAATCTATTACCAATTTATATCTGATATGAGAATATTTGAAAATGAATTTCAAATTAAAATAAATAAAACGCAACTTATAATCAGTGACATGATGAGAAAATGTAACAATTTTGAGAATATGACGAAATATTCATCGATATCAATTTTGAGCATGATGTTAAAGTCTATTTAGACAATTATTTGTTTATTCTCGATCATTCATTGTAATTTCATATTCAATAGCATTTATTTACGTTCGTGTATACTCCTACACCTTAATAAAATAATCTTATTTAAATCAAAATGATAAAAATATTACAAGCGAAATCTTATATTTAGATATTCGTTACAAGTTCAAAGTATTTTTTTTCTTTTCAAGAAAGTGCAATGAGTATCTTTACTTCTGGGTGTATATAGTTAACTTAAGATCAGATTCAAGATAGGATTGATTTCCGATGGATATATATTGTTTTTTTGCATATATGATACATGGTTAATCTTTATTTAATCCTTTACCGAGTAATGAGTCCAAACATGTAGGTCTCGCCTGTAATCTATTATTCTATCTATTCTAGTTAGAAAAAAAAGAAGATCGTATATCATATAAACATTTCGTGAAAGAGAAAAAAAACGTGTTAACCTGTTCTATATATTTTATTTCATATTGTTAAAAAAAAACATTACGGTATATACAGATCACAGAGTAGATAACATCGACACAAAAAAAGAAAAACAAGAAAACAAAGAAAAACGATCGTGAGACAAGATATGAAGAAAAAAAAAACATCTGACAAAAAATTTTAATGAAATTTTGAAAAAAATTTCATTTGTTCATGTATATCAATTGAATATATACCATCATTTGATGTTAATATTAATTCTTGGCTTTCATTTATATAATAAAAAGCATGAGCAATTATTGAATATGATTGTAAATATTTTTCATTTGTTATTATATGAATTATTTTAGCTGATGGATCATTTATAAAAAAAATATATTTTTGTATATAACTTATATATATTGAACATATTGTTAATGGATTTCCAGCATAAAATAATGAAATTTGTTCTTTTAATGATTTTATTAAATGATTATTATATGAACAAAATACAACAGCATATTGTGAACCATCCATTTCAACAAGAAAACATATATTTTTATTATTAACACATATATGTATAAAACGTTTAACTTTAGGAAAATTTTCTGTTAAATTATAATCATATAAATGATTTTTTGTTTCAAATTCAAATATTGATAATATCCATTCATGTTTAATATTTAAATAAATATAATATATATATTTATCATATATAGTACCAATACAATATTTTTGATCATTTAATTCAGAATTATGATTATTATTATCATTTGGTAATATCAATGAATGAGTTTGTGAATTTGATTCCAATGAATATATTATAAAATAATGTTCACTAAATATATATAGATGATTTTTATTAATAAAACCTATTGAATTAATTAAATGATCATGCCAATCTAAACGTTGTTCTTGAAGATTTGAACGATCAATAGCACTTAAATACCATGAAAATAATTGATTAGAACGATTTCGACAGAGAATTATATAGTCTGTATTACATGTCATAAGTATAGATGTGTTTCGTTCATGTTCATAATGTGCAACTAAAATATGAGATAAAATAATTTGTTCAATATGCATTTGAAATATATCTCAAGGATTATTTCATGAAGTACAATAGTCGACAAAAGTCTCTCCCCTCTTCCCTCCCCCTCCCAGATGTCGGCTACTATACATGCTGGAGGTCTAAAAATTTGTGTGCACATACTACACTAAGAATTTAGTTCAAAAGTACGAGATCACCCTGAGGGCTTAAATACAATGAGAATTATAATGACGGACGCTTATCTTTTTATTTCAAGCTTTTAGCCTGATAAAAAATAGTCTATTAAATTTTTTGTTACTTAGTATCAAGTACATGATTAATTCTTGATATTTTAGTATCCAAATAGAACATAGTCTACGCTCGTTTTTTTTTTGGTCAAAAGATTAGATAATTTAATTGAAGGTTGTTATCTCTACATGTCTCTGTACTAACACGATGATATTTTCATTTAGTGAAAAGTTCTTTCATGAAACTTGTAAGTAATAACGCGCAACTACAGACAATGCTTATGTACAAGTTTCAAGTCGATTCACTGAACTATTACTGAGTTGGTATATGTGCTCTTTGCCGAAACATGCTTCATCGAAAGTACTTTTTGGCCACGGAGGACACCCCAAAGGTGTGGGTGAGGGCAAAATGAGTTGACCTTTTCATGCTGAACAAGCCTATATCAGAATTAAAGAGCTCGCAACAGTGTAAAGCGTCTTACGAGTCTTTCGACGAAATGCTTTTCGTTGAAGAGGGTTACAACCACTGAGTTATGTTCTCTAAAGACTACCAGATAGTTTTTCTCCATTCGAATGGTCATAGAAAAATGCTACAATTCTAGAACAGATTGATGAACTTCGATGAAATTAATATGGATAGATAATCGAAACAAACACCACTAAGTAATGAAGATTAAGCTGATCCACAAAGTCCTTCGTTTTCAGAGTTATGACGTTAAAAAGATTAATAGGCACGATTCATTCCCATCCATCATAATTCTCGTTCCATTTAAACAATCAAGGTAAGTTCGTGTCTCAGGCTTATATTCTTAGTAGAGTATGTATACACAAATTCTCAAATTTTCAGCATGTATAGTAACGGAGATACGAGGGATGGGAGGCGTTTGTTTACTACTGTACAAGTTCAGAGAGTTCGATTAATATAACAGCTGATATATCTCTGTACACGATTGTTTTATGGACAAGGTAATAGATTATGCATCGCACTTAACTACAGAATCTAATATTATAAGCTGAAGATTTAAATATGGTTATTTGTGCTAGGGTAGTATTTTTACCATTGAAATTTTCTGTCAAAATTGAACACCTTATATTTAATTAAGGACGTACTAAGTCTTGACTTTTCCGCTTCAAAGGTAATGTATTTGTGGTACCAAAAATTTCCCAGTTTTGATTGCTCTATCTGATGTTATTATGGTTCCGAAAGATGTACAACGAAAAGATATTAGAATTGACAGAAAATTCAAAATTTTTAGCTAATTTCAACAGTGTCTTATCGTATTTCGTCAAGAATGATAGTCGTGTTGGACAGAACGATCAAAACCGTAGTCTTCAGCAAATTCTATTAAATAATATTTAACTAATCTTGGAAAATGTCTAACACTTAAAGAGTGCCATACGTTAAGTCATACTAATTCAATTTTCTGATAATCAACTAATAAAAAAAGGTGTACAATTTTTGAATCTAGTTATGTTTTGATTATTTAAAAGAAATATTCAGGGTGGTCCATAAGTCCCCCGACACTCTTGCATTGCGAATAACTTTTGATGGAAGCAAGATACAGACCTGCGGTTTTCATCATTCGAAAGAGCGATGATCAATCTATCAATCTGTATAATATTCACTGAACTGAAAGATGCTTTTTCTTAGAAACTTTTTCAACTGGTATTGTTTTTTCGTGTATCTTCATAAATGTCCACAATACTCCTGTCTCAAATTGCGTCCCAATGCAGCTCACATCATTCAGTTTTCGTTATTAAATTATCAGCATTTTTTGAAGGTTCACATACAAAAAAGATCGACGGAATAATGCGCAAAGTTATAATTTTATAGTGACAAACGGGTGATTTGAGATGGGATTATTGTGGATATTTATGAAAATGCACAAAAAAATGATGCCAGTTGAAAAAGTTTCTATGAAAGAACATTTTTCAGTTCGGTGAATATTATACAGATTGATAGATTGATCATCGCTCTTTCGAATGATGAAAACCGCAGATCTATATCTTGCTTCCGTCAAAAGTTATCCGCAATACAAGAGTGTCGGGGGACTTATGGACCACCCTGTTGTTTATATGTAACATGCTTATAACTATAAACTCATTTGGGCATTTGTTTTCAGAAAGAAATCTGTTTTAAAGTTCATTGATCTGAGATTGATATATGCATATATACTAATAATTTCGATTAATTTCTAATTTTTCGTATCCAGCGACATAACATCATAAAATCCAAATGGCAATCCTGGTTCTCATGTTCGTTCCAATTATCGTATATCAATAGTAATATATGACTCTAACACAACAACGGAATGAAGACATGAGCAACACTCACATCTTTCAAGAAACAAAATATGTGAAAACAAAAAAAACAATTTAATTTAATTTTCCCAGTCAATTCTTTGTTTTTAAATTCGTCTATTAATAAATCATCAACTTCTGTGATTTTTTTTTCTGTTCTCAAATTATTACCATAAGTTAGAGTTAATTCTCCTTTGCTACTTTTCACAGTTGATATTTGACGTTGATTTAATGATGAATTGATATTTGGTGAAGATGGTATTGGTCGTACTTGTGTATAATTAGGAATATTTCGACCAGAATTTAAACTATTACTATGTAACAATGAAGGAGTAACTGTATCATGTTCAGTCACTGGTAGACTCTTGCTACTAGGTGATGGTGATGGTGGTAATCGTGTACTGAATCGCATAAGACGTGCTGTAGCAGGTGATATAGGAGATTTGGATTCTTTGTTTCTAGAAATAAAAGATTACTTGTCATTTTTGTTTTTCTATTTTAATATTAATAATATTATACATAGAATTATAATTTGATAAACTTCGTTGAGTATCGAAACGTTTCGGTTGAATAACGGACGATGATCTAAAATTTAAAAATTTATAATTGATAAATTTCACTTTTTTTTTGTGTGCTACTTATTGATGTCTTTTTCATTATTATCATCATCTTCGGATTTAGTATAATCTGATTCAATAGATTTTTGTGTATAATGTTCTGGTTTCATCAATGGTTTTATATGATCTAATGAATTTCGATTTTTATCATTTGATGAAGTTTGAGAAATACTTAATGGTTTATCAAATGAAAAATATTGTTGAATATCAATATTTTTTATAAATAATTTCGGTATATTATTAATAAGAGTTTTTCGTTGTTCAAAACGTTTTTCATAATCTTGAAATTTTTCTACAGCTAGAAAATAGAAAAAGAAAATTTTCTAAATATAATTATTCTTTTCATTTAAACCTTCTTGATGTTTTCCTGAAGAAAATAATTGATTAATTATTTCAAGTTCATCATCAAATTGTTTTTTATTTTGTTTTGATATTTGAAGATTTTCTTCACGTATTTGTTCAAGTTTTATTTTAAGTTCATTTAATTTTTCATGAAATTTTTCTTGAAAATTTTTTAAATAATTCAAACCAGCTTGATATGTTGCATCAATATCTTTATTACAAAAATCTTCATCATCATAAAGTGTACGTTCAATTTCTTCAATACGATTACCAAGAGTTTGAATTAATTCTTCAGACTCATTTGTTAATTCAACATCCATTTTTCTTTAAGCATTTGGGTTTTTTTTTCTTTTGTTTTAAATAGATGGTTTACTGACATTTCAAATGAAATCCATTACAGATTTTATTTTATAGAGGGCATCAGTTGACGAAAATTATTTGAACTATAGAAATTTTCGTTAGGATTAAAGTTGTATGATTATAATCGATTTTTTGATTATTAAAGCTGATTTTTTTGCATATCTTTTTTACGTGGGGTATAGCTTTTCCTGATAAGTCGACAAAGTCATCGTCGAAGACTATGATAACTGTAAAATTTGATTTTTAGAAATTAGATTCTTTTATATAAGACAACATGATTCGGCATTTGTGGAGGATCAAATATGATAGAATGATAACCACGATTACAACAACAAACCAAACATATTACAACGATTGTGATTATAGTGGATGAGTGTATTTGTGAGTAGACAAACAAATCGATATACTAAGCTAATATATTATGGAATATCGTCTTGCTGTGCTTCACATTTGATTTAATGCATATATATATATATGTGGGTAGACTAAAAAGTGATAAAAATCTCTTTGTTCAATTTATTATTATTATTGTACACGAGTATATTAAATTTTTATGAATCATATTAGTTTCTACACTTACTGATATCAAATATTTTTTATAGAATAAATATTTAATTGTATCTTTTCTGATATAATTTTACGTATTGGAAAAAATAGTCTTCATTTATAACAATAAGAGTGAACAATAAATGATTTATTTTATTTAATAAAATCATTTTTAATGAAATAATGTTGATACGAAACACAATCTTATTCTATATTTAAATTCAACTTGTTATATTTACTCATCAAATGTTTATTTCTTTCAAATAGTTTGTTTCAGCTGATGGATCAAAAAAATATGTAAAAGAAAACAAACACCAATAGTCTATAATTACAATAATATATATAAATACAAATTATTCATAAATGTTTATGATAAGTTTTAATCGAGTTGTTGAATTTGATGACATTGATTTGATTCTAAACGATAAGAATTGAAAATCAAAATCAACAAAAATCAAATAAGATTATCTTGGAAAAAATACACTATAAATCAATGTTTCTATTGTCAAAACTAATTTTCATATGTTGAATCTTATTCATTAGCAAGAATAAAATAATAAAGATTTTGTAATTAGAATAAATTTAAAAAATGAAAGAAAAAAAACAATGAATTTCTTCTCCATGACCAAATAATTAGATCATAATGTTAGTTCTTAAATCTCAAAATAGTCTCATCGAATACATCAGTTTTATCAACAAATAAATTTTCTATCACAATTGTTATTTACCTAATTGTCTAATTCGCTGTTCGTGTTAAACAGGGAAAAGGAAGTTACTCGATTATTTCCTTTTTTTTTCTTTCACCTATATATATCGATAGTGATATATTGGGGAAGTGGTGTTTTTCTGTTAGTATCGTCTTTTCGTTAAAAGTAAAACGTTATTTAACCAACTAATTCAATACAAAAATAAATAGAAACTTATCAAACGAAACTATATGAAATGTCATGCAAACAATCATCCGAACCTTATATTAATTTAGCGTTTTTAAATATAACAAAGTACTTGTAAGAAGATATATATTTTATTCAATGTTTTAATACTATTTTATTTTTATTTAATCTATTAATTATAAATTTGATTTAATCGAATTGAGTAAGAACATTTATTGATAAAAATTTTTCAATGGAAATATTATCCTTAATAGAATTTCAAGTTACTTATTCTTTGATTTAACTTTTTATGCTTTTATTTTCTCCTTTTTGATTTTTCTATTCGAGAATCTCAAACAAATTTTACTATAATCAACATTTTTTCTTTTATCTTCAAGAGCATCTGTAGATACATACCATGATAATATTTGTTTCTAAATAAATCTTTGTTACTATTTTGAAAAAAACGCCTACTTAAATAACTAGAAAGATATTTTTCCTTTCAGTCATTAAATATTTCATCGAAATTTTTCATATCAACAGTGAGATTCGAAAACAAAACTATCAACGCAATATAAGGAAGATCCATAGAGAATTTAATGCTATAAAAACAATTTTTTTTCTAACAATGTTAATTGAATATCATTGAGAATATTCATTTAGACTTGAAAATATTATCATCAGTTTTTAATGATGATCTCAACTTATATTAAAAATATTTATAAAACTGAAACTTTTCTCAATCAAGATTAAGTGTTAACAGAAATAAGGTAAAGACTAAACTTCATCATCTATTTTACTTTCATCATTAGGATATAAATTAAGTATCTTCTGCTTAATCTTACTTAGCAAAAAGTGATCATGAAAACATACAAAGAATTTTAAAATTCATCTTATTAGATTGTTTCTTAAACTATAACATAAAATTAATCACTTTAGAAACAAAAAAAAAAAAATAATACATTTAGTAAATAAATTAATCATTTTGAAAATATTCTTATTCAGAATAGAATTGGGTGATATGACTTATTTTCATTAACAAACTTTTGTCTAAAAAAGAATATTTTATTAAATGTCTCTAAAGAACATTCAATATGAACTCATTTCTCAGTTTATTCACTATTAAGATTCTTTAAATATATAAACATCTAGCTTCATTTATTTCCACGTCTTCTGTCAAATTCATTAAACACTTAAACATTTTCGTTTGTTTTTTCAGAATTTCTATATATTTTTCTTCTAAATGCTTCTTCACATAATAATATTAAAATATTTTGTAACTTTAATGAAACAAATTACAAGAAATCAATGGAAGTAAAAAAAGAAACAAAATTCTATTTAAAAAATGATTAAAATGAAATGAAATATTGAATTTAGCAAAAGTTCCTTCATCAAAAACAATAGTTTTTATTACAATATTTAGCATAATAATCATTTTAGCTAGAAATTCACATAGAATTAGATTTATATCAGTAAGAGAATACGTTTAACATATTCAAAATAAAAATAATAACTTTTTTTATTATTACTCCATCTCGAATAAGAATTATCGATCATATATAAAAATAAAACATATTTCAACATTGTTGAAATTCAATCTGACTAATTATAAATGAGAAACAACTCAACTACTATCGATAATCTTTTGTCTTTTGAAAAATTATTTACTTTCTAATTCGAATCAATTTAAGATTTAGTAATTATCTTCATTATATAGTCTTGATTTCTACATCTCAATACGAATAATATTCTTAATATAAGAACAATATCTAAGTCATTCTATGTTCTCTTCAATATTAGATTTTACTCGTTCGAACAAAATTAGTTCAATTTTGCTAAATCATATGACATAGCATAATTTAATAAAGCTTACAATAAGCTTTAACTAAAACTGTCACAAAAATCTTAAAAATATTTATTACAATTGAATATAAAATTTAATAGATAAAAAATATTTTTCTACTCATTTTACTTTAAAGTATATTTTTTTCTTCAATTTAAGATTCAAGAATTATTATTAGTACAAAATAAAACGATTCGTTTCTTATACTGGATCATCCGTTACTACATTACAACTAAATCATCAAAAACTATAAAAAGCTTAGAATTACATGAATCTTAACAAAAAGAATATCCTTTAGTCTAAGCCAAATCATTACTTAAAAACATTAATTTAACAAAATGAACAGACTTACTCGATTTCGAAATCTTGGTTTGTCAATTAAATGTTTATAATATTACTTTACAAGAGGAAATTAAATGTCAACAAAAGAACGACATCTAAATCACAAAAGCAGAATATTTTCAATATATGTGCAAGGCTTGATATGTTTTTGACATGATTTATCTATTAATATTTATCTATGCCTAAACAATGAAACAATAGATTGATTAATTCACAAAGAATAATGAAAGAAACAATGTCTTGTTGAAAATCGACCATTACAATGTAATTGGTTGATAAAACGAAACATGATGAGAATACCCATGTCAATCGGACACGCTACAGGCGGCACGTATCGACACATGTACATAAGTTCATTTCTGGTTCTGACGACCGTCTACTAGCTGATGCAAATGGCTCATCCCATCATTTCTAAAGCCAATCCATTGATACACTCCTTAAGATCACCGTGTAACCGGATCAATTAAAAAGATAATTATACAGCAAAATTAGGCGTAGCTAATAACGGCGTTCTATCATATTTTCATCATGGCCCTTTGTATTTTTTTCTAATTTGTTAGTATCATTAACTGGCGTCATCTCTATCAAAGTTAAGCATATATCTTCAGTCAGAGTGAATTAGCCCAGAATGCCATCTATCAATTTTTCTAAAAAGGGCCAGCAAGATATTTAGCAAAGACCTTTCATTAGAATAATTTTCTATAATAAGTATAATTTTATTACTTATTCTTATAATGGTATTTAGAAAATAAATATGTAATGTGATAACAAATGAATTTTTTTTTCATTACAATTGGATTTTGATTAAATGAACAGGATATTGTTGATTTCCGAAAGAAAATCGACTTCTTCTTCTTTATTTTTTTTTTCAGAGTTTTTAATATTATTATTTTTTTTTATAAATAATCAAAGATTTATTTTCAATTTTTCGCATATAGTTAACGATGATTAATATTAATAATTAATTCAAAATAAAGTTTACTTTTAATTTTGATAATATTTTATCATGTTCTTTCTGATTGTTTAGTTTAATGACAGATTGTTGTATTAGTGCTAATAAGAAACGTTTTTTTCTGTCATATTTTCCATATTTTATTCCCTTCCTCAATTTGCTCAGTCTGTTAAACATTCATCAATGAGGAAGCCAATATCCTTTTTTTTTTCCTTCTCTTTTTTCTTTTGCGCTCATCAGTCATTCTTCTGTCACGAGGTAAATAAGTGCTTAAAATGTAGATACGCGTATGCTAAGAAAAAAGGTTGGAAGACAGATGTCATGTTGCTAAGCAATAGTTCTCTCACCCTCAACTACTATTCCCTTGTCGCCGTCTATCTCTTCTTTCTTCTCGACGGGCATACG